GTTGTTATTTTGGGACAGTCTCACATGTAGTTCAAGCTGTCCTTGACCTCACTATGTAGTCCAGGCTGGCCTTGAACTTATGGCAATCCTCCTGCCTCAGCCTCCCAAGTGCTGGGATTACAGGCATGCACACCAAGCCTGGCGTGGCTTTTTTTTTTTTTTTTTTTTTGATAAATTTGTGGTTGCTGCCAGCAGTCACAGGTGAGAATTGAAGAAAGTGTTGGGCACACTCCCCTCCTCAATCCACAGGGCTGCTTGCCCAGCCTATCCAACTCAGCTTTGATGGGAACGGAGACAGTGTCCTGAGCACCCCTTTGTCCATTGCCTCGGGCCCCCCTGGCCTTTGCCTGTCCAGGGCTGTCACTGCTGGGGCTGCGCTCACCCAGTGGCGGCTGCTGAAAGCACGTGGCTGTGATGGCTGGAAAGCGTGGCACCACGGGGCTCCTTCCTGGGAGGTTTGTGAGGCACCCAGGCCCAGCTCGGGTTCAGGGCCTTACTGAACACTTGGGGTGGCAGCCATGTCTTGGTTGGTGATTTGGCCTCCACAGGACAGACACACAGACCACGCTCGCCCTCAGGGCCCGGGTCCTTAGGGCGGTGCGGTTTGCAGCAGGGCCTCGGGAGGTGACTGGGACACGGCCTGCTCACCTCTCCCCAGAGGGTTCCTCTGTGGGGACCTGCGCGGTGTCAGCAGACGGACACACTGCGGGTGACCTTCCTTCGTGCAGGTAGAACATGTTCATCTGCATGTTTCCTGGGCCACACAATGATGCCGGGCTGCGCCGTCTCATTTTAACCGCCATTAAATGATTTTTCTGGTTCCAAAACAAGTATGAATAGTCTTAGATTTTAAAGAGAGAAAGGTGGCTGAGGCAGAACCACACCAAGGTAGAGGGGCTGGGACGGGGCAGTGGGGAGGGTGGTGGGGTGGGGGGTGCGTGGGCTCAGGTGAGGAGTATGCAAGGCGACTGGGTTGGCGGTGCATGCCGGTAGTCCCAGCACTTGGGAGGCTGAGGCAGGAGGACTGATGAGTTTCAGGCCAGCCTGGGCTACATAATGAGTTCAAGGCCAGCTTGAACTACATAGTGAGGTCCATCTAAAAAAACCGAAACAAACAAACAGAACAAAGGAAAGAAGAAAAGGAAGGAAGGAAGGAAGGAAAAAAAGAGCTATGATACTCACCTGTAATCCCAGCACTCAGAAAGCTGAGGCAGGAGGAGTCCCTGGTCAATGTAGAGATCCTGTCTCCAAAAAAAAAAAATTAAAAAAAAAAAAAAGAAGTGGAGCTAATTCCCACCATCGCAGACCTGGAATGTCAGAAGTGATGTTACTTCCAAGATAAAGTTTTAAAAGATTGTGGCTTCTAGCCAGGCCTGGTGGTGCATACCTATAATTCTAATACTCTGGGAGGTTGAGGCAGAAGGGTCACAAATTTGAGCCCAACCCAGCCACCTTATCAATTCTTTTCTCAAAATTAAAAAAAAATACAAAAGATAGCTGGGGAGTAGGTCAGTGGGGAGGCCTGGGTTCTGCCCCTAGTACTGAGGAAAAACATATCTGCTAACTTAGGTAGGAAAGCCTTAGTTTTTCTCAGCTCAGTAGTGCTCCAGGACCGGGGATGTAGCTCAGTGGCACAAGCGCCTGCCTGGCAAGCACAAGGTCCTGAGTTTGATTCTTGGTACCAAAAAAAAACAAACAGTAGTGCCCCAAATGTGCTGGATCAAACGCCAGATCTTGGCATTTGAAAGGAAAGGCTGATGTCCCCTGTGTTATGTCATCTCAGCATGTGACACATATTGAAAATATCTGTGCTGTTTCCTGAAGCCATCTATGAAGAGTCCTGGGCACAGCTGTTGAAATCACTCCGGGTACACATGCGAAGGCCATGAATCACCGGTTTGTGAAGCTGTTGAAGCGTGAGATGAGGTTAACGACCTTGCGTTCTTTGCCAGTGCTCATCAATTGCGTCACGAGAGTTTCACGAAGATTTCATTTCTGTCAACTTCAGGATCTTCTTAGGACAGGACTGCTTGCCAGATGTTCAGTAACGTCAGTGAAATGCTGGCTGTGTGATTTGTTTTCTCCAGCAGTTGCACACGAAGGAACTAAATGTGAAGCTCCCAGATGTTGCTTGTAGGTGATAGGCAGAGGACTGATGTGGACACGGAGACCTTCCAGGCTACAGTGACGATTTCAGCTTAGGAATCGATATGGGCAGGATTTTAATTGTAATCAACAATTATGGATATTAGTTGCAAAAATCTACAAGAAAAATTTGAAGAACACTTCAGTGACAGTGGCCAAAGGAGCTGTTTTTCAGTTTATGCCAACTTTTAGAATCTGTTGCTCATAATCCTGAATTGGCATAAGAGGTCATAAATTTACTTACTTTGGATGTTGTTTTGAAACTGATATGCTTTTGCTTTAAAGTCAATTCTTCCAAAAAGAGGAACCACTTTTTTTTAATGAACATGGGTACCACTATTGAAGGAAAATATGCTTTATTTAATTTAGTTATTGGAAAACTCATGAATGTGTCTGGAACTCACATATGTGAATCAATGTTTTCAATGCAAATTTTATGAAATCTAAACACAGTTTACCTACTTGTGATAATAACATCATCCACATTGCAGTGTGCTACGAATATAAAATATAGACTGGATTTGAAAATTTGCTATAATGGAAAAAAGCTGTGGTAGATTAGCTAAAGGTCAACTTGAACACCCAGCCGAACTGAGTCAGCTGCTGCTGGGTGCGGAAGGCCCACCTGAGGACTGCTGCCAACAGCATAAAAGGAGAAGTGGAGGGGAAGGTGGTGTGCTGTTGATTGTCCCGGAGAAGACTGTGGTGCTGGTTTTCCTGATATGAACTCGGCTGTTCTCATCATTGGAGGAGCTTGGGTCCTCGCTATTGCTAAGGACGCTTGCAGTTCTCTTTGGGGGAACTCTGGTCCTTTGTTGCTTCCTGGCTCCAGGGCAGATAATTCCCCCTACTGGCGCAGACTTTCTAGCTTCCACCACTGACCTTTGGGTCTTCCCAGTGCAGATCCTTGATACAGACTTGCAGGAGACATTGTCGTGGGCTCTAGGCCTCCAGTTAGACTCAGTGGAGGACACTGCCACAGGTGCTAGGTCTTCAGCTGGACTTGTGCTGGACACTGCCGTGGGATCCAGGCCCTCAGCTGGATTCTTTGGGTCTCTAGTACATGAACAGATCCCTTGCACTCTTCTGCATTTGACTCTTTGGGTGAATGTTATAAAATAATCCTATAAATTATGTGTCATATTAATCTATTGCTTTGCAAACCCTGACTACAACAAATGTTTTTGTAAATAAGGAGGGGAAGGAGGGTTGGGAGAGAGTAAGGGAATAGGGGAAAACATTTGCTATAATGTAAAATGTTTCATTAACAATTTAAAATGTTTATTACTTAATGAAACTATTATTTGGCTATATTGAGTTAAAATGTTTAAAATCTACCCAGTAATTTTTTTTTTGTACCGGAAATCGAACTCAGGACCTTGTGCTTGCCAAGCAAGGTACTGTGCTGTTGAACTATATCCCCGGCCCTTACTAATTTTTAAAGTGTAGCTACTAGAAACATTTTCATTACGTAGGTGGCTGCTGTCACACTCCTACCGGCCTGTGCTGCTGGGGACACTTGGACGTGGCCAGGCCAAGGCTTTTCGCTCTCAGGTTTCAGTGCAAATGTCAGCCTCTCTGTGACACTTCTCCTGACGGAAGAGGCCACCTCACCACCCTGGCCACGCACACTAGCTTGTTCTCTCCCCTACTTCTGGTTCCCTCTACTTCATAGCCCTGTTCTTTACCTGAAGTCTTATTGCTGTCTAAGGGCTCATTGTTTTGCTTTCTTTACGGGAATAGAACTGCGTGTTCAGTTTGTTTTGTTTCATTCAGACAGGGCTTTCCTATGCAGTCTAGGCTGCACTTCTGTGCACTCCACTTTCCTACCCACAGTTACCCCCAGTGCGCTGATTCTGTGAATATACCTTTATTCTGAACAGGGGAAAAAAAATAAGTTGATCTGACATGCTTCAAAAAAAATGAAATGAAGACCTTAAATATGCAGAAACAATGAATATGAAATCACTTAAAGATCTGTCTCACTGGGAAAAAAAGTAAAACCACAGTGTTCAAGTCTTTCACCATTTCTTTTTTATTTTCCTAATAGCACATTCTTTAAAAGAAGTTAACAACTTCAATTCCAAATATAAGGATTAAATAATGCAAATGAGAAGCTGTCGATTTTCAGTGAAGCTGCTGCCTGATTACCCTGGGAGAAGTACTCTTGTGCCTGAACTGCTGCAAAAACCCCTTGGAAAAGCTCCACTTGCTGCCTGGTAAGGGTCTTCTTAAGGTCACTTTGTCGTCTAGACCGTCCCCGTGTTCCAGTGAGAGTTCCACTTGGTAATGGCTTGTGGTTCCACAGTGTTTTGTGTATGAAAAGCGCAGATTAAGAGAAACTACTCAAGTTGCTCAGATTTTGGGTTCTGCCACCGAAGGAGGTCCCAACGCTGTGCTGCTTCCCGGACATTCAGAAGACTCAGGAGAAAGAGAACTCGAGTCCGGCTGTGCCCTGACGTTGCTCACAGCCGGTGGCGCTGGCTCCGGGAGGCTGCTGTGCATCAGACAGAGGCAGGAAGCCCGTGTGCTTACGAGAAACCTGTGGGCTGTGCGCGGTGGCCCAGCTCGGGGGCGCAGACAGAGGCATCTGGCGGCTGCCGGGCCCCCTCAGGTGGGCGCACGAGCGCTGAGCGCCATCGCCGGGTGCTGCTCTGCCAGGGGCAGGGAGGTGGCGGCGCCCCTGCACCCCACAGAGCAGAGCCCGGGAGGCCCGCTGCCTGTGGCTGGCAAGCTGCCTACTGCTGGGACAAGAGCGCGCTGCGGTTGGCCTTCATCTTCTCCAGCCGCTTCACCAAGTGGCCGTTGCTCACCTCGAGCTCTTCTGTTTTATCCAGTGCTGAGCGAAGCTGGAAACGAGGAGGAGAGGCTGTGAGCGGAGAGGAAGGGGTTTCCCCAAAACATCTGGGGCTCTGTACGGCCAAGAGCCCCGTCCCACTGACAGCTGTGAGCACAGCTCAGAACTGCCGAAACCCCGAGCCCTGAAGTGACATCCTCGTGTGCGTTTCGTAATGTAAAAAGCACCACAGGCCATGGTTCTGGCATGGTGGGGACGCGGGGACCCTTCCTCCTCAGAAAAGTTAGAGCCAGATGTGGCACACTCTGGGTAAGTGAGGCAAACAAGTACGACATAAAAGGACTAAGCCCGAGGCAGGAAGGCCGGGGCCACAGTGCTCACAGAGCCAGGGCTAGGCGGGGGCCGCAGGAGCTGGAGTTCCTAGACCAGCAGGCCAGGGGACAGGAGCCCTAGGGAGAGGCCCCGCAGCCACACAGACGTACAGATGCGAAGCGTTAGTGTACAGCCCACAGCTCTGCTTTCCCCCACCAGCGCCCCCAAGGAGGGTGGTAGAGGTCCGGGGGCAGAAGACCCCCTGCTCCCATCTCAACAGGGCCAGAGCAAGCCCTCTGGGTAGGACATTTCCCCCGGTGGGGCCCCAAGTTCTCCTCAAGCACGACCTTACACAACATCACACATCTGAGGAAGGGGCGGAGCAAAACCCTACGGAACCAGACACCCAAAGATCGGCCGCATCAGCTGCACCCAGCACGCACATCTCTGCCCAGCAGGCGCCGTCAGTGTTTGCCGGATGAGCAACTTTGCCAGATGTCCTCGGGAAGGTAAGAGGTGTGCAAGTGTGAAAGCCAGGGTGGAAGCGTGGCAAGTGACCTGGGAGCAGCAGAGAGGCTGGCCCACTTCTTTATCTCATTAACCTCCCATTTGAGGATGAGTCCTGCAACGAATGCTCAAAGCGGACACTGGCCCCGCGATGCGGTGGTGCTGGCCTCGGGCTCTTGACAGCTGAGCTCCGGCCTTGTTCAGATGCCAGCCCTTGAGGGTGGTCAGGCTGGAGCTACACGCTCAGCCCCCTTGCAGATTTAGTCAAGGGCTAACGCGCCAGCCCAGGGGCAGTCACACCCACGCCTCGCCTAGAAATAGCCCTGGAGATTACCTCTCTTTGGAGTTTTCGTTTTTCTGCCTTAAGTTCATCTTCTATTTTTTCTGCATTTTCGGCAGCTGATTTATAACGCGACACCTGGCTCTCTAACCTTATTACCTGAAAGGGAGGGAAAAGCCGGCAGTATAAATTATCGGCCTGCTTCCTTTCTCCAAGTGCTATATTATAGTCAAGATCCAAGGGCGTGGCTTAGTAAAATGGGAGAATACAGCATTTGAGTCATAGAACCCCTTTTAGACAGTATGCAGGCTCTAGCCAAGCCAGCTTGCTTTCTTTTTGTGTGTGTGTGTGTGTTTTTGGTTTTTTTCTGGTACCGGGAATCGAACTCACGACCTTGTGCTTGCCAGGCAGGCACTGTGCCGCTGAGCTAAATCCCCAGCCCCTCAAGCCAGCTTTCCACTTTTCCCTCTGGAGGACCCTGTCCTGACCCCAGCAGGGACTGCTCTGCTCTCTGGCTCCCATCCAAAGGTGTAGGAGCCCTCCTGGCCTCTGTTCCCACTGTCCCTGCTGTGGGACTGTCCTGCTGGAGAAGGTACATTGAGGCAGACAGAGATGGCAGGACAGAGGTCCCACCAGGACCTTGGCCCAAGTCTAATCTCAGGGCTGGCGAGGTGGGAGGTAGCAAAGGACAGGGCTAGAGTGAAAGAAGTGGGCTTTGGACAGGGATCCCCAGGCGAGGTTCCAGCCAGACTGGCGGCGGGGGTGCCAGGACTCCTTTGCCATTGGGATCCACAGCATGATTCATCCAGCTCAGCTTGCTCTAGGGGGTGCTGTTCATTTTTGTTTCTATAAAAATTCCCAAGGTTCCAGCCACGTATACCCCAGCCGAGCGGGGAGAGGGCATGTTTTCCCCTTCCCTGGGACAGGACAGATTGCTGCGAGGCCCAGCGTCTGGAGGTGCAGTGCCCCAAGTCCAGAGGGCAGGCAGAGCGGGCCTGGAGGGCAGGGAAGCCTGAAAGTCCGAGGCAGAGGGACATTCGAGCACGATGCCTGTCTAATCAGCTAAATTACTTTTAAGGAACAAAAATTTTACAAACTGCCAAACCACATCGGTTATTTTCTACAACTAAGCCTGACTTCTAAAAGGTCAGTGTCTGCTGTAACAACCCCGGTCCTGACAGTTCTTGCCTGCTCTCCTCATGGCCTCTGGACGCAGTCCGAGACACTGGCTGCCCTCGGTGGTGCCCTCAAGACCTTTTTTGGCTCTACAAGCCTCTGCTGCTTTTCAGCCCAGCCTCTGAGCTGCTGTTTCTAGCAAACAGAGCTGCCATGCATCCACATGTAGCTGCCCGGGACTGCTTGAAAAAGCACACGCGTACATTTTGTTCCAGTGCAGTTATCTCTTGTTCAGACTTCGCAAGTTTAAATTTGAGGTCGCTGATCTGCCTGTTGGCATCTCCTAAAGGTTGGGGGAGAAGGAAAGCTTGTTACGCTCTTGCCTTTGAGCATGTTACAGCAGCAGCTCCGGGGCCACGCCCTTCCTCGTATCGGCTCACAGACCTGTGAGTTCTGGCCTGTGCCCCGCTGTGTCAGGGGCCAGGGCACCGAGAGTACATGACACCTGTGTGTGAGGGCAGGGAACCCCAGGCGTAGCCAAGAGGACAAACAAATGGTGGGATGGGTAGGGGGAGACTGGGCATCATTTCGTCTCCCTTGAGCCTGTTTCTAATTTATTGGCATAAAAAATACTTCTCGGTTTTTCCATATAAAGAGCAGGTCAAAGGCTGTGGTACCCAGCCAAGCAAGTACGGCTTCTCTCAGTGCTCACGTGCACTCTGGGACGCCTTCTCTGTCCCCTGGGCGTGGAGAGAGAAAGAGAGAGACACCCTTGCCCTATCACCTGCCCTCCTTGGCCAGACCACAAACACCTCTGAGCTTTCGTTTCTAGGGGCTCCTGGGGGCCTGCGGGGGAGTGCGGGGTCTCCTCCGCCATGACAGCTTCAACACAGCCCAGGGACAGCGAGCTTCGGAGCTGACACTTACGCTGCAGGTCCAGGACGTGTGCATCCGTCCCGTTTTCCACGACGTCCTCGGCCCTTGGGTTGTCGAGCTTGCTGTTCTTCTGCCTTACCTCGAGCTGCCCTTTGAGTCTCTTAATCTGAAAACACCACGGGTGAATTCTGTCAGTTTCTCCTTCCTAAAGGAGACTGGAAAGCTGAGGTCAGAGCCCACCAGAGGGGGCGCGGCTGTAAAATGACAACCTGAACCCAGAGGTGCAGTGGCGCTGTGCGTTACGGGGGTGTGCCCGAGGTGCCAGAGAGCTAGGCTGACACCAGCATGCAGGAGAGCAGTGCAGTCAAAGGTGACAGTCCACACGCTGCCCTGCCACCAGAGGGGTCTGTGACCAGCCCAAACCCCAAATTAAAAACCTGCTGATCAGTACTCCTCCGATGGGAGGCAGTGCAATGAATGAAAAATTATTTTTACAATATCAGGTTTGAATTATTTTATAATGCGGGAAAGTCCTTCCTCCCTGCCTCCTGCCTTTTTTATTTCTGCAGTGCTAAGGAAACCCAGGGCCCGGAGCACACTCGACAAACTGTCTGTAACATGCCTGCCCTCCCTTTTAAATTTTGAGACAGGAGCTCACTAAGTTGTTCAGCCTGGCCTTGAACTTGTGACCCTTCCACCTCAGCCTCCTGAGTAGCTGGAATGACAGCTGTGCACCACCACCCCTCCTGACCAGTTATTTCTGAAGTTGAAATTCCTCTGGGACTCAGGAGGAGAAACGACGTCAAATACCTGAAATGTTAACCAAGTGTCATGCAGTCAGCGTGCCATGGGCCTGGGCTTTATTCACAAAGAAAGGGCCGTTTGGAGCCTTCTGGGTGCAGAAGACCTGGAATTAACTCCCTCCCTCCACCCCGAACTGTGGCCTTCTTACTTGAAACAAGTACAGAACTACAGCGAGTACATTTTTAAAAAGCATACTTTATTTTTTGCGGTGCTAGGAATTAAGCCCAGCACCTCCCACCTGCTCAAGTGCCCTACCACGGAGCTGTGCCCTGGGCCAGGAGGTGCGTTTGTAAAAGACCCTGAGACTCCTCCCGGCCCTTCAGTGCTGTGTCTGAGTGTGTAAGACTGCCCAACAGAACTGTGAAAAACAAGGCAAATCCAGCTGGTCAGGCTTAGGGAGGAAAACTAGAGGAACAGAATTTCCTTAGGAAGTGGTTGTGGGTAATTAGATAACTATCCTGCATGTAAGAAAGTGCAAATAGAACAGATGTTGATACTTCTTGAGGTTGGAGGCAGCCATGAGGACAAACCACAATTAAAACAACTGTGATCAGCTCTACAAACACCTGCTGGGAGAGGGCTGACAGCGGGCGGGCAGGCGAGGCATCGGCCATGACCCAGGCCTGGCCCAGGCTCTCACGGTTCATCTCGGGTGCCACAGGCATGTTTATTTTATGCAGCAAGTCCCATGTACAAAATTCAGTTCCAAGGCTTTGAGTCTTGTAGATGTCCTCACTAAACCTCATGGACTGATCACGCTCTATATGGATGCAGCCCTGATGGGTTTAGTGATTTTTTTGCCATGTGATGTATTTAGGACTTTTTAGAGTCAGCAGGAAGCAAGAACGGGAAACTGTTTCAGATGCCCTGTTCAAGAATTTAGAAAAAGCATTATGGTGTCAGACAGCTGCAATCCCAGCACTTGGGAGGCTGCTGCATGTTCAAGGCCAGCCTGAGCTACACAGTGAGTTTAAGGTCAGTCGGGATAAATAGTGAGACCCTGTCTCAGCCCCCCGCCAAGAAAGAACTCAGAGTACTAAAAAGTATTACCTGTTCCAATAAGCACTCCCGTTCATCAAGGAGCTTTTTCAGCCTAATATCTGAAGAAATGAGAAAGATACAGGTTCGGGTGAATCTGCGTGTGGCACGGTCAGCTCATGGCTCACCGGGGAGGCGCGTCGGTTAGTGAAATGGATGATGTAGTTACACACGTACCATGGTGGATGAGGCCACAGACAGGACGGGAGGACTCGGCCAGCGGGGGGCACCAGCCTCCCCCACATGCTTCGTCAGGAGTGGCTTCCAGCTCATGCAAACAGCTACTCTTCTACTAGTTAGCATGCAAGGACTGGAGGCAAACACACTGCAACACAAGAGCTCACGGGCCTCACAGCTGAACATCGTTAGCAATGCAGTCACACGGAGCGCCAGGGTGCAGGCTCACCTGCCTTTTCTGTTTTCCTGGTGCAGCACTGAGGACTTTACCCAGCGCCCCCAACGGAACTCCCACCCTAGCCCTGCCTGGGCTGGAACCTGCGATCCTCCTGCCTCAGTCTGTGCCCCCGGGCCTGGCTAGCACCAACATGTAACTAGCTGTCCTTTCTGAGTTTATGCCCTGGGCGTGCTCGTCTTCCTCATTTTGCTCGTAGACTCATCCGTGTCAGAGTTTTGACCCCATGTTCACAAATCCCAATTCTGTGGACCACGCAGCTGCCAGCCCTACCCAAAGCTGCCATTCTTGTAAAGAGAAGTGCAGTGGCTGCTTTGTATTCTGAAGCTGCTCCCACCCCAGGCACGTAAGGGTGCAGACACACAGGGTGATCAAAATATCTGGTGAAAGTTTACATTAAAGCAGTACAGTAAAAGATACACCCCCTCGCTTTGAACACTCATCTCACGTTCTCATCACTGATGCAGTTCTGCAAGTCCTCTTTCCTGAGTGTCTTCACAAGGCATGGTAAAAAATACAGTGAATGCTGCTGCCCAAGGGCCATCCCTTTAGGAAAGGCTCCTGAGAACGTCACAGTGTCCTCGCCCACATGATTTACCCGTATAACACCGCGCGACTGCTGGCGCTTCCCCAAAGTCAAAACGACCTTGAAAGGGAAATATTTTGAATCAGTTGAGGACGTGGAGGCAGCCGGGACAGGACAACTAAAGACACTCGGGAAAGAGGACTCTAGAGCTGCTTCAGAAAGTTGCAATGATGCGATAAATGTGTTTGCAGAAAGGGGGAAGATTTTAAGGGGGACTTGAGGCACTGTTCCTTTTACTGTAGTACATTTTAAAAATCAAATATTCACTGTATTTTTCAGTCACGCCTTGTACATAAGCATCTCTGCATCCGAGGGAATGTCAGACGCTCTAGTCTTTAGATTCAGAGGGGGACCAAGGCCTGAGGAGGGTTTACACCAGTTTAAAGACAAATTAAGGACAACAGTGAGTGAGGGGAGGCCAGGCATCCCCCCTGCAGTCCTCCATACAGCTTTGCGCCAGTCAAGACCTGCTGGGTGCCGTCACTGCACCCCTCCTCTTTGCGAGTGGGTGACTTCCTAAGGTCTCACAGCCACCCTGGGGCACCCCGACAACTGCGCTCCAGACACACCCCCCTCCAAGGGGAGCCCTGCCTCCTGGCCCAGGGCTGATTCCCGAGGGACCTCTGAGCTCCAAGTTCTTCAGAGAGTAAATAATTAGCCTGGACAATGATTCAGAGAAAAGCCCATCCTTATTCTCATTCTAAAAATCATCCAGCCACATCCTGATCCCAGTTACATGATTTTTCGAATCATTTTCCACAGACCCTAAGTTGTGATTTGGAAAGGCACAGTATAACGGAGTTAGGACAGCAGAAAATCTTACGCATAATGTAACGTAAATTCACGACCCTTTGGAGTCTCATTTCAATTTGCATGCCTTCTTTTACTTCTGAAAGCCCACCACACACTGAAGCAAACAAAAAACAAATGGAAAGGGAAAATAAACGCAGCTCTCTTATCGAGTATCACCTTTAACCTTCTGTATTTTGTACTCGTATACAAAAACTAGGCATTGTGAGAAACTTAAAGCTCATGTCTCTAGCTATTGAAACCTTTCTTATTTTTTCTCCTAGAAGACTTCAAATATGCAGGAAAATAATAGAAAATGTTAAAATATAATAGCAGAGCTACTAAAAAAAAAAAAAGGAATCTGACCGGCAGTTTTATGGTAAGACTATGAAAACCTAGGGAGAAGTGGAACTTTCACAGAAGATAAATTTTAAAACAGAACTGGAGAAGAGAACACAAACCAGCTTTAAGAAAATGGAAAACAAGACAGAGGCAAATTACTTGATATGGAGAAGGAAAGTAAGAATACTGCTTGTCATGGCTTTGAGATGAAAGAGTCCAACCTGCCGGAAAATAGGGTCAGGTCACTGTTGTGTGACACTTCTCAAGAGTAGTGAACACAGTGATGTACATTGTCACCCAGTTTATAAACAGGCTTTCTTTTGTACTGGGGAATTATCATCAGCTGGCTAGTGAAGGTATTTTAATGACATTAAAAAGTCTGTTTCTTATAACTTCAGTTCTAGTAAACTTTCTGGTATATGACTTAGAGACTCACAAAATGGTACACAGAATGCCAGCCTTCTAGGAAATTCCTGGGGTGGCCACACTCCCCGGTGCTGGGAGGCTCTGAGCCCCTCCTCTTTCCAGCCCACACCCCACCAGCTCGCCTATCCAGGGGCGGCTCAAGGTCGATGCAGCCACGGTTGGCAAGCGCAGACTTTCTAACTGCCCTCCCCAGATCTGAGCCTCCCCGCAACCCTAAAAGGCAGGTGTGCCCGATTCAGGGAGCACAATAAGGCCCGGGAGGTGCAGGCTTGCTCAGAACCATGCACTTCAGAGGTGGATCTTCACTCAGCCCGCAGGGGCCCCAGGATGCCGGGTGTCCCAGAGGGTTCGGGCATCCCGGGTCAGCTCGTCCTCTCCAGGCCCTGCTGAAGGCGCCTCAGCCACCTCGTTCTCCTGTTTGCAGGGCCCAAGGGGTCAGCAGAGGTGACAAGGGGCCTATATCAGCCACCAGCCCTTCTAGCTGCGAACTCCAAAATCCCAAGTATAAAGAGCAAAATGCAAGACAGATGCCTGGACAGAGAGCACTTCTACAGAAGGAAGGCGGATCGAGGGAGGAGGGAAGCGGGGGGGAGGATGCACAGAGAATGCAGCTGTGTGATGTCCTCGCACAAGACCCCCCCCCTCCCCGAGAGGAACAGAGCCATCATGTGCTGCCAACACGGGCCAGGAAAAATAACTGGAAACTTAAACTGTACTGAAAGCGTATGTTTTATCATGCAGCTTGTTCACCAGTGAAGTTATTTAAAGAAAAGTAAGAGGGGGCAGGACAAACAGAAAGAGGGTCTTCCTCCCAAAACACCACGCTTTCTACATATACACCATCATGACACCACACAGCAGTATTCCGATCACACGCCGCGCGCCCACACACACACACACACTCACACTTCCCTTTCCCGGGGACCTGGGTGGACTTTGGGATGAGTCTTGCTGTTGTGGTCCCGTGCCTCAGTGGCCCTGGCTGCTCCTTGCTTGCTGTGGGCTCACAGAAAGGGCCTGTAGGTGGGACGCAGGAACCCCAAGCCTTCCTGGTGTCCCGAGGCAGCGTTTCAGGGTCCACCACCAAGGACACCTAAGCTCACATTTCTGTGAATCTTGGCTGCTGTGCTGGCTTCAGTGTTGTCCCAAGGCACAGAGCTGGGAAACTGAGGTTCATCCACAGGATGGCTCTCAAGAGTCAAGAAACGAAGCCTGGCATGGTAGTGCATGCCTGTAATCCCAGCACTTGGGAGGCTGAGGCAGGGGGATTGCTGCAGATTCGAGTCCAGCCTGGTCTACACAGTGAGTTCAAGGGAGCCTGAACTGCCCAGTGAGACCCTCTCTCAAAATAACAACCACTACCAAGCAAAAGGGTCGAGAAACAGTACACTTGTTCCGACACCGTTTTTTCCTTCTTTCTCGCTCCCTCCTGCAGAATTCTCAGTCGTGTGCTCCCCACCGACAGCAGGGTCCCAGCTTCTTGGTCCCCAGCATGGTGCTTACCAAGGGGTCAGAAGGGCTTGCTGGGTGCCTGAGGGAGTGGGCGCATGACCATGACGCGGGTGTGAGATCCTGGGGCATACAGGGACAGCACAGAACTGAGGGGATGCTGGTCGGTGGACCGATTCCCACGGGGCCTCTAAAAGTGGGAATGGAGCTGCTTCCTGACATGCACTGCAGTGAATGCAGTGGGGACACCTACTAGCACCCCAAGGGGCCTTGGCCTGGCCACCAGCAGCCCTCTAGCTTGCTATTTCCACAGTCTGATGGAGCGCACCCATCCTGCTGTCCTCCTCTGCAGGACCCAGGAGCAGCGGGGAAAATCGGAGTCTTTTCGTGCCTTCTGTCAGATGCTCTGACCTCACTAGGCGGGAGCACATTTGAGAAGATCAGAACAGAAACCCTCGTCAGCTGGGGGCAGCACCTGGGCACAGGAGGTAACACGAGGGACATCTCCCCAAGGACAGACTGGGCGGGGGTGGGGAGCGGACTCCATGCGACACCAAGAGGCCTCAGCCGCGGCCTCTCCTGAGCCCCTTGGGAGTTCACACAGGAGGGGACACCACTGCCAGGGGATACTGCGTGACACAGGGCCAGGGTCAGAGGTCAGGAGCCCAAAGACGGGAACCACAGGCTTGTGCAATTACAAAATGCTTTTATTTCAGTTCTGTAACACTTAGGTGTGCCTCAGATTTTACTGAGGGTTTGGTCTTTCTGCACTGAATTACATCTTTTTTTTTTTCCGGTACCGGAAACTGAACTCAGGACTTAGTGCTTGGCAGACAGGCGCTGAGCCACTGCATCCCGGCCCTCAATTACATCTTGTAACAGAGATACGAATTAGCATCAACTGATCAAGTGTCGCCAGTACTCATGATGTACATTCTCTTGGATTATATATCTTATCGTTACTTTTTATTTAACTTTTACAATTATTTTTAAAGCTCCTTTATATAGAAAATATATATTCCTTTAGCAGATCGAGACAAGAAATTTTCAATCAATATACTGAGAAATAACAAATATATTTATACCAAAACAAAAGTGATTCTGTTAAACTATTCCCCTACAATAAAAATAAAATATCCAATTATAGACTAATGAGTAGTTTCCACAACAATAAGTAACTTTTGTATTGTTCTTTTGACTAACAAGACATTCAAACAAACAGTAGCAATTTCAAGGTTTAAAAAAATTGTGATGATTCCCCCACCAAAACACTACAGTAGGAAATGCAATTTCAACATGTCAACTCTAGAAAAACATTCCAAAAAAATATTTTTGAAATTCTTTGTATAAAATGAATTTGGTACATCATCAGTATGAAGTAAACATCTTTTACAAAATAAATGCAGGTATCATTGATATGCGATCTGAAAGTATCAGTGTGAAGAAAAATACTTCAACGAGGTAAAGGCAAATAAGATCTCTCTAGTGCTTTCAGATACTTACTTGTTATCCCTAAAATGATAATTATTGTCCTAAAGGTGCAAATCTTATCACTCGGTGACCTATAGGCTATTTGACCATTCATCTCCTTTAAATAAAACACCAGACAGGTTATAACATACACTGTAAAAGCAGCTATGAAAGTACATATACTTGAGTGAGACATACTAGTTTAAATATCCGCTATCTTCCTAAGGCAGAGATCTCAGAACGCTGTTTGGTCATCTCGATTAGGTGCTGATGAATTTGGTCAAGAGTACCCACAGTCATATTGGCCTCGGGCAGATGCGAGGATCGGCTGGAACACTGAGCAGGCTGACAGTACCGTGCTCCGGGAATGCTCTCATTCCGAACTTCCACTGAACACAGATGTGATTTTCCCTCTGATCTGGGTGATGTCTTGATGATTCCACATGAGTCTAAGAGAATCGGGCTGCAGCGTGGAGCAGCAGAGCCCGGACACGACTGCTCTACAGCGGTCTGCACCGACTCAGAACGTCCCTTGAGCCGAGCCGCCCCAGTGGAGGTGGAGGTCGGTGCGTGGCGGCGGCGGCGGCGGCTCACTGTGCGGGGTGCCTGGTCCCAGGAGCCCCGGCTCGCGCCCTGCCTGCCCGCCTAGGACATGGTGCAGTCCTCCTTGCCTTTGCCCCTCTCGCTCCCTCCTTTTTCACGGCCTCCGCTCTCTGCACTCAAGTCCCCCGGCTCTCCAGTTGGCTCAGACAAATCACCCTTTTCTAGGCTCCCGCTGCCTGCAGCTTCCAGGACCGGCTGCCTCTGCTGCTGGGACGTCACACAGCTCTCAGGACTTCCTGTCTCACAGGCGTCGGCGATGGCCCCTGAGGGGCCTGCGTTGTGCTGCAGAGAGCTCCCGGTCCCCTCTGCATCCTCCACCTCTGGAGGGACACCAGCTGTTTCAGTGCTGCTGCTGTTTGTGACAACTTCTACCCCCTCTTTCTCGCCAGCGTTGGTGCCTAGGGACGGGGCAGAACTGCCTGCAAAATCCACGGCGTCCCCAGCAGCTGCCCCGCCCTCCCCCTCTGCTTCCACATCTTCATCCTCTTGGTTCAGTTTTCCATCCACCTCGGCCTCAGGACGATCATCACCTTCACCGCTTCCTGGCACGACGCTCTGCAGAGCGTTGTCGGTCCCCTCCTCTTGAGCTTCTGCCGCGGGTTTTTTGCTGGCAAACTGTCTGCACTCTTCCTGAGCTTCTCCTTCCTCTGCGTTCTGATAGGTCAGCTCTTTCTTGACATCTTCAAGGCTTTCTATGGGTGCAGGTGATTTTTTCTTCTTGTTTTTCTTTTTCTTGCTCTTTGACTTCTTCTGGGATGAATCTGATGCCTCTGCCTGGTGGTTGCTCTTTCCTTCGTTGGGCTCACGATCGGTGTCTGCCCTCCCAGGACCTGGGGCTTCCTCTTGGCCGTTCTGGGCTGTGGGAGCCCCAGGAACGGTCTGTGCTTCTGTCTGGACTAGTTTCTCATCCTTCTTTTCTACGTCTCCCTCGTCCTCCACACTGTCCTCTCTGCCTACTTCTGCGCTCTGAGCAGGGGCCTCCCCAGGCTCAGCTGCTTCCTGCTCAGTGAGTGCCTTCTCTGAGCTGTGCCCTGTGCCGGAGTCCAGCTCACCCACTGGAGGATTCCCAGGGTGACTTTCAGGGGCCCCTGCTGCACCTCCTCCTGCCTCTAGCTCCTCCTCTGTGTGGTCCCCGCCTGGCCCCCCAGGATCTGCACAGCTCATCCGTTCCACTTGGGCTCCTTGCACAGGCGCAGATCCCCCACACAGTTTTGGATGAAACTCTTCTACGTCTGTTTTCAAACCTTGGTTTTCTTGGTCCTGCCTTTCCACAGGTTTTTCACTCTGCTCTGTGCCACCCAAAGCATGACAAGCGTCCTGGCTGTGCCCGGGACCAGGGGCTCCACTACCTAAATCCTCTGGACACTTGGGCTGCCCCAGGGACGCTTCAGTCCCCTCGACTGGCATGACTGTGGCTTCCTGGGACCCAACCTGCCCTGGAGTTTCACAGTTCTCTGGACCTCGGCTTTGAACTTGCTCCTTACATTCGGCATTTGTGAAGTCTTCGAAGGCTGTCTGGCCCTCAGCGCTTTCACCGGGGTGAGACACCTGTATGCCCACACCATCCCGTACTGTGTCCTCTTTGTGCTGTTCTCGCTCAGTATTCTGCAAGATTGCTCTTTTCCCCACATTCTCCACAATTTCATTTTCCACCTTCACTTCTTTCGCTCTTCCTAAAAGACCATGGAGAGAATTGAAGGGACCCCAGGATGCAGTAAGCACTTAATATATATTAAAACATAAAGACACGCTCAGACTACCACCCACCCTGTTCAGAGAGGGGGGGGAGACAGGGAGGGAGGGACAGAGAGAACGCACTGTAGGACGCAGGACACAGAAGCCTCCCGTTTCTTTGCAGCAAAGCAGCAACTGCGTGAGTGTGTTTCGCCACCGTCTCAGAGGCAGGTGTGACTCTAGCGGCACTGGTGTGGACCGATCTGTCTAGGTGAACTTAAGTTTGAACAAATAGAAAGAGCTTGGGCCAGGCGGCCAAACAAACCCAAATACTGTGCTTTAGAAGGGACTTCTGGGGGCTGGGGATTTAGTTCAGCGGCAAAGCGCCTGCCTGGCAAGCGCAAGGTCGTGAGTTCGTGCGGGTACTGGAAGAAAAACAGAAAAAAAAAAAAAAAAAAAAAAAAGGGGGCTTCCGGCCCACATACCAGTTCTCCTTTCTAATGGCCGTCTCGACAGCTTACGATGATCGGGATCCTGCCCACCCCTAACAGTGGCTTGCAAATAGTTGGTTTCTTTTTTTTAAGAACACTCAGGTCACTTTCAGAGGCTCAGCCTCAAGGTCAGTGTCAAGGAAGATGCTTTGAGTGTAGCTCACAGAGCTAGGCGTGGTGGCACACACCTGTAATTCCAGCACTCTCGAGGCTGAGGCAGGAGGATTGCCATGAGTTTGAAGCTAGCCTAGGCTACACAGGGGAGTTCAAGGCCAGTCTGAATGACACAGTGAGACTCCATCTCAAAAAAACAACAAAAAAGGAATATCTCACATAGGCAAAAAGAAATCTGTGTTCCACCACCACACAGTGTCTTGCTGGGAAGGTGTCCTGTGTCTGCCCTGACTACTTGGGTGTCCCCAGGGGTAGGGAAAGCAGCCCAGCAGGGAGCAGTGCTACAGACCAAGGGGACCACTTAAGCCAACAGCTTTACCCATCGGTTAAAAAGCACATTGCTGCTTTGGAATGAATAGCTACATCTGGGGTTCTCCAAAGAAACACAACCTCGTGTGGCTGAAGTCAAAGCCCAGTGAGTCACAGCCCAGGGCCCCGCGGGGAAAGTGGGGCGATGCCAAGCCTCCTCCCTCTCCATTTACTTCACCCGTTAATGTTTCTACTACTCCATGTTGGGTGAAGCACATTTTATCCTAATGAAATAGTGTACATAAATTAAAAATAAGCACACATATGGGGAAGGTCCCACAGGTCTTCACAGATGGGCTCTGCGGTCCAATACATTTGGAAACCACGCACAAAGCTGGTGCTCCTGGTTCTCCCACATTTCAAAAGGGTCACGAGAGACTCAGAATGTGTATTCTGCCAGAGCAGCATGATCACGTAAACCCCTAGCACCCTACGGATCCCATACAAAGGCATGATGGAAATCTTGTTTTTCCCAACAACTTGTACACATTTACAAGAGCTGTTTCCTTAATAGACGTGAAGATGAGGAGGCCGCTCCCTGAGAAGCAGCTCCTGAGAAGGTGGAGAGGCTGAGGCTACTGTCTCTACATCTGCACAACAGAAAGCAGTCAGACGAAAGCTTCTGACCCGGTGAAGGGTCGTGGCCTCGCCTTGTTCCAGCCCTGCTGAAAGATGCTGGAACACAGCTGGTCACTGGGACACACGGGCTTCTCTTAGGGGCTGCAGCGTGGGGAATCAGAAATGTCCCCCCAAACCAAATGTGACAATTACTCATCAGTGGATCTCTCCAGACTGTGACACACTGCATGCTCTGCTGGACTCCCCAGTTTTACATTCTTGCAGAAGCAAAATTGAGGCATACACCAGAGGACGCCCTCTGACAGGAGCGTTCCCTCCTCCTGCTGGGAGCTGCCTCCACAGCACTGACCTCGCATGCCGCCCTGCTGAGCGGCCGGCACATCCGGGCCACTGGCCTACGTCACAGCTCTGACCGCTCCATCACAGGGAAGTTAAAAGCTGCTCTCGGCACACATCTAAGCAAGACCAAAGGGTACTCTGCACACTGTCGCTTCGTTTTGAAACGACTTCACTTGGTAGCTCTGAGAAGCAAAGAAATGTGTACTCGAGCCATTGGTGTGAGCACTACATAGACGCGTGCGACCACGGTGCTGGGCAGGAGCCTCCCACCACGCGGCGGAGCAGGGCATGCTGGGTGACTGTTAATGACCAGTGACGATGACTTCAGTTCTGACAATGCATGGAAGATGGGTCAGCGCTGACCAAAAAGGTGACAGGATCAAAAGGAAGTCTACACTTACCTAGTGTCCCGTCCCCGGATGACTTGAGGGCATTTATCTCTTCTGTCGTCATCTTGGTAGAGCCTGGGTGCCCAACATTATTTAGTGTGTCTGAAGTTTCTCCGTTGGTAGCTACTTCTGAATTTAGGATTATTCCGTGTTTCTGGGCAGAGAAAAAACAAAACCAGGCTGATTGAAATACTCAATGATATCTGGCTAACCTGTTTTATTAATTTTTATAAAAAGGGAAACTATTTTTCCTGAAGTAACTCCAGAGAGATGGTGGAGTCTGGTGCCCGGCACCACAGCTACAGACATCTGTCAACACTCTCCATCCGTGATGCCTCCGTCCAGCACTACCTCTGCCATACCCCTCTCCGGGACCCAAGACACGCTCAGTGGGCGTCCTGTCCACGAGGGCGATGGCCTGCGGGCTGTCACAAAGTGCAGCATCAGGTCAGTCACTGTGACTCAAGCCCCGGCTTCATGTTTTGAAGAGGGAGACAGAGGTAGAGAAATACGCACGGGGTCTGGAAGGAGTGAACAAAGCACAGGTGGAAGAAGGACTTGAGGCGGCGGGGAGGCCTGGTGCGGCCACAGGGATGACACAGCACTCCTGCGTAGGAAAACCTGCTGTGGCCCAGCTCTGGGACCTCCTTGCCGTCCCATCCGCAGCCCACGGCTCTGTCCCAACGGCCGGGGCCTCCCGTCACTGTGCGCAGCCTGGGTGAGGGGCTCTGTGCAGTCTCAGCTTTGGCCACACCCTGCCACTCAGCTGCCCTGCTCTGGCCCGGCCTTCAAGGCAGACACGCTGTGACCCCGCGGCACTGAGGACTCTGCCAGGACCAGGTGCCTCTCTACGCTACCTGCCGCAGGGCTCGGGGAGCCGGCTCAGGGTGCCGAGGGGGGCTTTTACTGTGTGCTGCTGCCCCCTAGAATCTAGGGGGTCTAACAGCATGGGTGTTGGCCCTGCTGCTCACCCCAGATGCCGAGGAGCTGGAGCAGCCCTCGGATGCGAGGATTACACAGGAGCAAGCACACTCCTACCCGTCTATCCGGGGCTGCTTCCTCCTGAGTCGGGGAGAAACTCGGGTGCTCTGTGAGAAACTCAGAGCTGGGAGCTGGGCTGCTTTCGAGATGAGCTGGGCCTGCACGCAGCCCAGGGCCAGGGGCACCGCCCGCAGGCAGCCCCCATGTGCCATGTCTGTGCCAGTTAACCTGAAACAGGAGCGGCGCAGACAGCAAACGGTGCTTTGGCTTCGTACCTTGGATTCCTCTTTCAGCTTCACTATTTCTTCTCTAAGGTCATCGCGTTCGCTCCTTATAGAGTCAAAGAACTCTTTCTGCCTCTCTAACGCCTGCGTGTGCAGTGAGCAAAGAGAAAGGAGAGTCACAAAGAGGAGAGGTTACTCGGCAGGGAGCAGAGGCTGCGCCACGGACACTGACAGACACGAACACAAATGAAGACAGATGAAGCGCGAGCCAGCAGCGGCTTGGGTGCCTTGGCCCACCCCATGAGACAAAGCTAACGGTTCTGTGAGACCCAGGAGGCAGATTCACTGCCTCACTTTCTAGTTTGGTTTGTGGCATTGGAAAGTTAACAGGAGTGACATGCCCATTTAAATGATAGGCAAATAAAGGGCAAAAAAGAGTCAGGCGTGGTTGTGCACGTCTGTGATTCCAGAGCACATGAAGCTGAAGCAGGAGAGTGCCATGAGTTAAGGCCAGCCTGGACTACACAGCAATGCCTTGTCTCAAAAAGAAGAGAAAAGAACCAGAAAGAATGGAAAGGAATGCTAAGGAAACCTGCAGAATGACGACCGCTTCATCGCTTCGGACTGTCTGGGCACATTAACTGTGGGCATTTGTTATCACACAAACATAGCGGCCGAGAGCGCAGGTGGGCAGGGGCACACACACTCCTGGCCCAGCGCCGGTGCCAGGGTGGACTCGGTGCGGCTTCGCACCAGGACAGGTGGCGACACTCACACCTCAGCCCGTTATCGGGGCTGGGTCCCAGGGCTGGGCCACGCGAGTCGCCATGTTTTAGAAACACCTGTCAGTACGCATCGGCAGTGACTGTGGGTCCCTTTCCTCCCGTCCCTCACTCCTGAGTGTGGGACGCTTCGGCTCTGCTCGTGGGGAGGGTGCAAGGAGGCCTTCGGTGGAGATTCAGACATGGGAGCACGAGGCATTGTCCCCGCCACCCTGGAGCTTCCTCAAACCTCTGAGGAAAAGCCCAGGCGTGGGGAGTCCTGAGGCGCCTGCCACACCTTGGGACCTGGCAGGGCCACGGGTGGGGGCCAGCACCGAGGCCCCTCGACCATCTGGGGGTTGGTGTGCACACGAGTATGAACTCCATGTCTCGGGGCTGCATGCACACCCACACAAGCACTGCTGCAAAGCAAAGACCGCAAGAACTGCATCTGCTGTGCAGCTCGCCCGCTGGAGTAGACTCTCGAGGACTGAAGAAGCCTACCCCTATCTTTTTGTCTTTCCACTCTATCGTTTCCTGAAGATCAGAAATCTCCCTGATATAACTCGCCTGTTTCTGCTGTAGCTGGCGGATTTCCTGAGGAAAGGAACAGATGGGAGGAAAGCAGATAAAGGGTTAAGCAGGCAGAAAACGACCGGCGGAGGCGACCTGGATGCCCGCTGATGGAGGGACCACCCTACCTCACTGACCCCGGGTCCACGCAGGCAAGGGTTATTTCCCTGGTCCTGCTCTCAGCTCCCAGATGTACAGGGAGAAACCTACTTGGGTGACATTCTCGCCCAAAAGTCACCGATGTGCTGGGTAAGCTGGGAAAGGAAGAAGCGGCCTGTGAGTCACACGCTGCTTCACAAAGGGGACGAGGTCTGAGCATGGCGCCCCCGGGCGCTCTGTCCTTGTGCAGAGCCCAAGAGGCCTTCACAAGCTAGGGTGCTGGTGGTGCCACCGGGCCATACGCCTGCAGGGCCCACTGTCACACAGGCAGCGCGGCTGACAGAAACACACCGACCGCACCCGCTTCCTGCGATACTGTAACAGACTGCCACAGGTTCAGTGGCTTGAGCCAACACAGATGCATTCTCTTACAGTTGTGCAGCTGGGAAGTTCAGAGTGAGCCTTAGAGGCTACAGCTGAGGTGTGGGCGGGCTTGGTCCTCCCTGGGGATCCTGGGAAGACTCAGTTTCCCCACCTCACCCACCTTCCGGAACCTTCTGCCCGGCACTCTACGGCTGCGGTCAGCCCCTGCTCCTGCCGTCACAGCCCCCACTTCCGCCCTCAACTTGTCTTCCCCTTCTCAGGACCCGTGAGATGACATCAAGCCCACCCGGCTGATCCAGGCGAATGACGTTCCCCGGGGGCTTTGACCTTCACTGTATCCGCGAGGCCCCGTCACCACTCAGGGTGACACGTGTACCTCTTCCCGGTTGAGGACGCGGGCGTCTCTGGAAGGCGGCACACGCAGGACCACCGCAGAGGAGAATCCGTACCTCGAGGGCATTGCTGCTCTGAGCGAGGCATGGGGTGTCCGCACAGGTGTTCAGATAACCCAGGTAACTGCTACGGACTGGACTGTGTCCCCCAAATTTCCACGCTGAAGCCCTCACCTCCAAAGTGCCAGTGTTTGGAGGGTGAGACTTTGGGCGTCAACGATGGGTAAGTGGGTCCTCGGGGGGTCCTGCCCTGGCACAATGCCTGTCCCTATGAGACCCTCAAGTCCTCTCTGCCCCCAGGGACGCAGTGGAGGTGACCGCCACAGGCCAGGCGGGGGCTTCCTGGACCTAACCCTGACTGGGGACTTCCGTCTCCAGAGCAGTGAGCAAATGAACTTCTGTGCCGAGCCCCCGGTCTGTGGCGATTCTTCACAGCAGCCGGAGCTGAAACAGCAAAGCGGACGAAAGGCCGGGCCCACAGGGTGCAGGCAGCGCTCACCTCCAGCATCTCGTCCCGCTGCCGCAGCGCCTCCTTCACCTCGGCGAGCTGGAACTGCAGGACGCTGTGCGCGTGCCGCTCCCGCTCCAGCTCCTGCGGGAGGAACGCCGTGCTCCCTGTCATTTTGGCTCCCGTTCACAGGAGAGCCGCACACCCCCGGGATGGGTCGCCTGCTTCCATGTCACCACACCTCCAGGCCACGCAGTGCACACAGCCACTCCTCCCGGCCCGACCCAGCGGAAGACGCCCCACGGGCAGCTTCCGGTGAGCTGGTGAGCTGATGCGGGCTTCCCTCTGGGGAGCAGGCAAGGCCCAGGCTCGTCTCCCATGTCCCCTGGGGGCCCGGGTGCTGTGCTGAGGGTTGGGATATGATGATAAAATCACCCTTGATTTCAAACAGGACAAGGAGCACTTGCTGGGTGAGAGACAGTGCAGCTGGCTGGGCAGTCAGCTTTCCTCCAGGGACAAAGCAGCAGCACAGGTGGAGCCCGATGGGGCCATGGAGTGGTCAGAGCTGCTCCCCTCCCCGCCCTCCCCTCTGTAAGGCGCTTCCTGGGGTCCGGCTGCTGGGCTTTCCTGTCCTCACTCACACACGGTAGCACACCCTAATAATGGTGTGGTCCCAATGAACTCTGCTGACGCTTACAGGACAGTGTTGTACCCATCCCCAGGTCCATCTCATGTAACGCTGGAGAAGGGATGTGAGCTGGGTGGCGGGCTCCTTCCCGGGGGTGACGGGAGCCTTCCCTCCTGCTGGGCTTGGCTGGGGGCCTGCCCCTGTCCTGGAAGCTCGTCCTAGCATGCACAGCCTCTGGGGCCCACTAACAAGGCCTGTAGGGCGGTGACTGTGGGGTGATTCCAACACACTACAGTGCTGCCTCAGATTCACGGCCTCTGGCTAAGGAAAAGCCCCCCAGTGCTCAGCTGTCAGGAGCAGAACCCGTCAGCTTCTAGCCCATTCTGCAGCAGCTAGACCGGGAGTCCTCTGAGTCCCTAATGGGACCCTGGTTTTAACTCTTAGGATTCTTTTTTTTTCTTCCCTTTTGAGACAGGGTTTCACTATGCAGTTCAGGCTGGCCTTGAGCTCACTTTGTAACCCAGGCTGGTCCTGAACTCACAATGATCCTCCAGCCTCGGCCTCCCGAATGCTGGGATTACAGGCGTACGCCACCACGTCTGGCTACTCTTGGGATTCTGAAGATACAGCCAGTTACAAAAGGAAAAGAAGAAAATGACACTCGTGCACTGAGGTCTGTCTATCTCAGAATCTCTAAGGAAATGGACGAGGTTAGGGTTTGATAAATCAACCACATCTAAAAACATGGAAAAAGAAGTCCTCCTTGCTCTCTAGCTCACAAAGAACAAAGCTGTGCTTGCAGGCTTCCCAAACGTGTCCCCTGACCTGCCCCTCAGTAGACTCGGGCTGATCACGTAACAAAGGCAAGCAACCCGGCTGGTTCTACAGGAAGGCTCACGTGGGATAACCCTTCTCCGAGCCGGAAGGTATTTGGTTTGTTTTTTCTTTTTTGAGACCAGGTCTTGCTATGTAGCCTAGGCTGGCCTCGAACTCCAGGTGCTCCTCCTCCCTGAATCTCCCCCTGGCTGGGATTACAAGCATGCAGCACACCTGGTGTATTTAATTCTTAAATGGAGAAACTGTCTTTTCCCAATCAGCAGAAAATAAATGAATATAATCCTGTTAAAATCTATGATACTCTCACTTGTCCATGGCGGGGCAAAGATTAAAACACTCAGTGTGTGTTAACAGGAAACAGGAGTCATCGAAGTGGTCTTATCTAAGCACACTGGCTCTTTCGTGGCTATGATTTCACCTTCCAGGCAAAACACGACTGTTTTTGTAGGGAAACTGTCCTTGTGTACGTGGTGAAATTCTGCACACGGACATTTCAAGTCAGTCGGCACAGACCATGGTATCCTTATTCTAGAGTTTGTGCTTCCTGGCCTAGCAGAGAAACATCACTCACACACACACACACACGCACGCACGCACGCACGCTTTCCCACAACACTCCTGAGCTCACCAGCACCTACCTTGCTCTTGTCCTCACACTGCCGCCGGGCCTCAGCCAGCTCTTCCTCCAGCTCCAGCAGCACGTCTTTGAGGGTGTCCACCTGGTACATGAAGTTGGTCTTCTCATTGTCTAGCTGAGCATTGGAAACCATAGCCTTCTTGTATTTCTCTTCTACTTCTGCTAGAGAGTCCTGCAGAAAAGGGTCAAGGTTTTGACACTGCATTAGGAAAACCCAAGTAAAAATGAATCCGTTGCTCTTTAGAAAAACCCAGCCTTCAGTGAATGGAGACCTTATTTCTGGGAGCAAACAATCACAATAGAAAGCACGTCCAACTTCAAATGCACAGCACTTGCCCGCTCTAGGGGACCAAATTCTCATCTCTCCGTCTCGAGTGGAGCCGGGGTGAAAGCAACACGTCCTCTCAGTGGGGCACAGTCACTCAGCAGAGACCGAGGGCCACAGGGCTGGCCAGGGACTCCCGACTTGTGACTCAGCAGCAGGGCCACACCCTGCCTCAGGTGACTGCCCGTGAACCAGGAAACAGCTGGTGGTCATTTCATACTTTTAGCAAATTGGAAAACTAAACACAGGTCTCACTGCATTGGTGCTGGAAAGGCAAAGGTCAGTCCCGGGACAGGACAGCAGAGAACCACAAACACGGCAGTGCCCTTGAGTGGCTCGCACCTCTGCAGGTCTTGTAATAGGCAGAAGAGAAGCCAGAAGAGCAGAGAGGGCAGAGTCACGGGGTAACTACCCGAAGTTAAGGAAAGTGGTGTGAATGGCTTGGCTGGGAGCCTCATGGACTACAAGGAGGCTTCGGGGGACTGGCATGGTCCTGGCCCGCACTTCCAAGCCCCAGCAATGGCTTTAGGTGGGGCCTGTGGTTTTGGGTGGTTTTGGTAGTTCCTTTTTTGACATGAGTTGAAAGCTAGAGTCAGTTTTTCCCCTTTTAAAAGAGGTGACAATTCTGAGCACGATGGTTAGGTGTGTGGCTTATGTCCTTCCTGTCCGGTGCCTGTTGACATTGAGTTGAGACTACCTCCTGGGTACTTCCTGGGCGGCTGAGAGCAAGTAACAGATCTGCCACAGCTGCCGGTGGATCCCACTGTCATGTGTCCATGGCAACTACTCATCTTACAATCAAGGTACAGGGTGACTTTTGTTTCCCGTTAGCACAACAAAGTAACTGCAAGAGCATGCACACACTCAAATCCAGGATGACACTAGATGGGACAGATGCTGCCTCAATTAGTGGAATTTCACACCATGCAAATAATTCAGATGCTTCCAAAAGCACACGTTAGCCACACCCTCATGGTAGACAGTGGATGTTCCGAGAAGCAAATCAGGCGAAGCATGTTTGTATGTGGTGACTATGGAAGGTGAAGAGGGCCAAAATCCTCCCAGTGTCTGGTGCATCTGGACACTGGTTTTTAGCCTGAAGGAGGGCAGTGAGCTTGACACACATCGGGGACCTTGTTAGCTTCCATGCTTGGTTGCATTTGGTAGAAGACAGGGCTGCACCCTGCTGGCCTTCCTGCTGCCCCATGGCCCATCACCTGGGCCCTGCAGGGTGAGCCACACTTTGCAATCCTTCCCCAGGATTTCCCTGCACTCAGGTGGGTTAGCACCGCGAGCCCACACTTCCGCACACCAGTACCTTCATCTCTTTCAATCCCTGCATGTATTTGCCTTCTACGTCCTGAATCTGGTCCTTTAACTCATTGAGCTCCTGGGGAAGTGGCAAAGGGCAAAGGATGTCAGGGCAAAACATCGGTCGGCGGAGATCACACCCTGCATTTCTATCATTGGCACAGTCCCCATACCCATCCTCTTTTTTTTAGGTGTGAAAAGAAAATAAATTGCAATATTGCACAGGCTAAGCGTCCCTCCTATACCGTCACACAGTTTCACAAAGTTCAGGCACAGCTTGTATACAGAGGTACCTGCATACTTGTTAACTGGGTCTAGTGGGGAGGCGAGCACCAAAGGTGACAAGCGCCCAACTAGTGGTTCTGGCTGGAAAGAGCAGCGAGTCACAGGCAGCTGCGCACAGGGGCACGGTGACAAGAACGGGGCAAAATGTTCTCATCGGAATGCGTCAAGGACCACGCTTGACACGTTTCAAAGCAGTTCAGTCCCAAGGTATGGTTGTAATTCCACCAAATATTTTTTTAAAAAAGAAGTGCTTTTGAAGACAGGAAAAGCACATTTAATAACTCATTTTGCACCGGGGGCTCCTGTTCTGTGCAAGACACGCAGCAAGATGCTGGGCAGACACCCGCAAAAGCTGTGCCCTGCCTTCAGGAAGCACCCAGCTGACTTTTTCACCACCAACACCCTGGTGTCCCAGGCAGTGTCTGGCAAGGGTGGACTCAGCGAGAGCTTGCTGGGCAAATGCACCATGGCGGTGATGAAGACACAAAATAGGGTTGCAGTGGACTTGGCTTTGGGTCACAGAGCAACAAAGGGGGTGCAGCAGGGGCTGCTGGTGGTCAGGGGACGGCATGTGGCAATCCAGGAACAACAGTCAAAAAGCCGTTCTGCTGGCTTCAATTGCTCATAAAACATAGGACACAGAGAGCAACTTCAGGGGATCCCAGGCAACCCCCAAGATCCCCAAGATCCCCCCCGTCCTCCTGGGCAAATGTCACCCATCCGCTCAGATGTCACCAGTGCAGGCTGACTTCCTCTGTACCCATCCTGGGGCCGAGGAAGTTCTTCCACAGGAGCCAAACCAGACTCCTGAGGCTGCTGTGCCTGGGCTCTGCCCTCCAGAGAACACGACCTTCTGGTCGCCTTCCTTCCCCTTTGGGGTACAATGGCCCTAGTTACTTAACAGAGCTGTGTTGTTTTTCTCCTGCACACAGAATGTCACCAAATGCCTGGAGCTGTGAACGTAACAGAGATGGGAGAAGGCCCATGATCCAGTGGGAGGAGAAACCATTCAATACAACGACGAGGTCTGTCCAGGGCATACTGCACATGGAGAGCACAGGTCCCCTCAGGCGGTGGACATGGCCCAAGGTCACGTGTGGGTACTTGGCTCAGAGTCCAGCGTCCTCCATGTACACTGACCATCCGTACGTGTCAGCACACACGTGGTCACATCGGCACATGCTGGCACCCTGGTGGACCCAGCGTCAGGGGCGTGGAGGGTACAGACACACATCTGCCTGGTGGGACCCGGGCAGGTCGGGGCCACCTCCTGTGGGAGATGCGGGCCTGAGCCGGGCCCCGGTGTTACGAGAGCACCACGTTTGAGGGGAGGCAGGATGGAGAAGAAACAGCCAGAATGTGACAAAATGTATCTTTTTTTTAAATTTGGAGACTGATGTTCACAAGGCCGCAGCGAGCGGGGCGTCTTACCTTAATTTCCCTCATGGACGCCTCGGTGTCGATGGAGATGGAGGTGTCGCCGCTGCCCCTGCGGGAGGAGGTGCCGCCGAGCGAGGCCAGGGTGGCTGCGGACAGACTGGGCATGTTGCGGGAGCCCTGGAACACGCGAGGGTCAGTGTGACTGAGGCGGAACCCCAGCTCCTCCGGTCCAGCCTCACTGCGCCTGTGCACCTCCCAGCTCCCCCGCCGGAAGCCGCCTGCATGAACGGCCAGCTCTGCCCTCAGCTTCGCTGCCTTATGGGATTCGTGACTCCAGGGGCCCCCTCGGAGAAGCCACACCGTGCTGGGTGGGCCACTTATTGGTCCTGGGCACTCACCGCAAACAACTTTAGTAACACCAAGCACCCCAGTTTCCCGTCAGCTTCACCTGTGAGTTCTGGGACCCTCTAGGTCAACGAACGGGTAAGATGGAGGCTTAGAGAAATGCCTTACCTTCTCACTAAAATCTTTTTCAGGTCTTTCTTCAACCTGTGGAGGAAAAAGGACAAATACTAAATACCTCAAAGCATGAAATGAGTAGTATGAGTTGGGGTATGGTGATTTCTCCCACTTCCTGTGGCTGTCATCCAGGGGTCCCCCTCCTGCCCCTGCCAGATGGGGCTCAGCGGGGCCCAAGCAGAGCAAAACTAAATACACAGCTCTTAAGGAAAGGCTCAGCTGACTTCTCGGACATTAAATCCCACTGTGCTTGTTTTCCCAGCAAGAGAGACACCTGTGTTTGCCAGTGTTCCCGAGTGCAGGAAGCGCCCTGGGCCCCGGGGGAGGCGACGGCCGTGAAGGTGTCACACCTGCCACTCCCACCAGATGGCAGCCTGGCCCCGACACAGGGACAGGAAGTAAACCAGGTTTACTCTGACAGAACACACGAAGAATCCAAGAGAGAGGGGGTTTCTACACCTTGTCATGGGTGCTCCCTGGCCTGGAGTGCGAGGGGCAGGGACGCGGTGCTGGGTCCGCGCCGTCTGCCCTCTGGTGGTCATGTGGCCTGTGGCCATTAGCTTTCTAAACAGCACTCAACAGTGCGGGCCACTGGGAAAGCTTCTAGCAGGCTTACAAAAGATGTTCAGTCTTCCATAACCACCACGGAGTAGGTGGAAGACATCCTCCAGGCATGGTGGCGCCCTCAGCCCAGGGACCTCGTCCTCATGGTGTCCGACCTCTCACCGGCTCACACCAGACCCCAGCAGGGAACAGGACCACGAAGGCAGCGCCACTGCTATGTCCCGCTCAGAACAAAGGGACAGCAAACCCCAACTGAAGGTCATTTTCTTTCCAATTTAAATGGCAGCAGCTGGGCCCCCAATAGCGTGGGAATTTGGCTTTTAAACCCAGTGATATTTGCAGCGCCCCAAATAGTGTGGCCCGCAGCTCCTGCATGCAGTTTTCCACCTGGCTGCTGGGTTGCTCCTCGAGAGACCTGAATGTGAGCCATCACCTCTTGTTTCTCTGTTCCAGCGGCAGGGACGGTGCTTAGCCCGTCTTCCTCTAAAGCAGCACGCAGGTCCAGGCTCTGCTCCCAGTGGATGTCAGACACACAGCCGCTTCGCCGGGCTCCGTGGGGCAGTCGGTGGGCTGCACACAGCAGTGTGCTCCACCCAGGGTCCAAGCCCGGACCCTCAGCCCCTCTGACTCCAAACTCTCCAGCACCTGTGCCCCTTGCAGCCTGAGACGCAAGGTTCACATTGCTCAGGTAACATCGTCCCCGGGGGCAGGGAGACCTCGTGTTGGCTCACATGCAGCGGTGCTGGAACATCTGGCTGCACTGGAAAGGAAGACCTGGCTCATCTACAGCACCGTGTGTCCTGCAAGAGGGAGCAGATGCCTCTCACCCTCCAAGGCCCTAAGCCTGGAGCACTGGGGCCTGGCAAGCTCTAGTCCTGACCCTGACAGTGGCCTTTGGACACCAAGCTGCTTTTATTTTCTTGAAGGGGGACCAACAGTCATCGTCTTCATTCTGGTCACCTTTGTTTCCTTAACGGCAGTGTCCCTGCCCACCACTCTGGTCTGATGGCCCCTGCAGAGTCCCGAGGGCCGCCCCTCACCTGGTGTCACACACCCCCCCCCCCCCCCCCCACCGAGACCTGTTCTGTGCCCTGTGCACACACCGATGAAGACCCAGCCCAGCGACAGTTCCAGGAGCCACTGCAGGCTGCGCTACCTCGTCACGCTATTGCTATGGCAACTCCAGCCAAGGAGGGACACACTGGCCGTGCCTTCTCGGGGGGCTGCTTTCTCAGCATCACAGATGTCCCAGGTGAGGAGGGAGTGCTGTGACAGTGGCACTGGGCCTTGTCACTTCCTGCTCCCTATCCCTCCTGGAAGCCAGGCTGGTGGGTCACTGGCCTTTGTCTCCACCCTCTGCAGCACTGCCGGTCACCCGCTGCTCCTCCGTCCCAGGCAGGAGGACCATGGCCTTCGGGGCTCCCTCCACTGACACTACCATGAACACACAGCTACCCTTGCAGTCCAGCAGCCCTCCAGGACACGCCCAGCCCTCAGGACAAGGAGAGAATCGACCAGGATGCCGTGTAAGAGGGTGGCAAGGCGTGGAAGTGCAGGGGGGCTGGCTCAGCGCTGTCTTCCGGCCTCGCCAGATACCGGGGCGCACCCTCTGCCCTCCAGAGACAGCCCCGCAGCTCTGAGAACACGAGGGGCTCCATCGCTGTGGGGCCCACCCGAGTGACAGCACGGGGCAGTCACAGCTGCCCCACATCCGAGCCGCGTCCCGACCTCGGCCCCTCCAGTGAGGTGACGGCACCAGCATGGGTCAGCCTTTGTGTCAGGGGCCGGGGACTCAGGGAGAAGGAGAAGCACACGTGTCATCCCAGCACGCAGGAGGCTGAGGCAGGAGGACTGCCGTGCATTAGAGGCCAGCCTAGTGAAAGTGAGTCTCAAAAACCACCGTCACCACCAAAACAAGAAGCAAGCGCTCCAGGACGCGGCACATCTCTCTCTCGCCGCTGACCGGCTCCAGAGTGCTGCTCTCCCAGAGCCCCCGGGGCGGCTGCCGCTGTGCTGCTCGGCACACCTGGACCCGTCTGAGCACGTGGTCTCCCCTCACTGCTGGCCTCCGGGATGGGCAAGCACAGGAGGCACGCAGCCGCTGGTCCCCACCCACGCCGGGAGCCTGCATTCCCACCAGGACCCAGCCCTCCCGGCCTTGCCTGTCTCCTCGCCTGGACGGAGGGACATGGGGGAGACAGCGGTTAGGGCAGGACACACAGGACTGCCGCCAGGATGACAGGTGGGCAGCCTTGGTGCCACAGAAGCCAGGGTGTTGCGACCTGAGTGGCTCAGCTTGGCAGGGGCCCAGAGCCGCCAGGGATCCGTGGGCTCCTCCCCGCGAAGAAGCTACTGTCTGTGTCTGGCGTGAGCTTCTCTGCTGTGACAGTCTGCACCAAGTTCAGCCAGCAGCTCCACGCTCCGGACAGTGGCTCAGCCCCTCACTGCCCCTTGCGGGTCAGAAACCTGTTCCAGGGTTCAGGCACGGCTGGCGGGACGGTGCTGGGTAACAGAGTCTAGAGGCACATTTAAGCTTCTCCACGGCTAGGAGTTGTTTTTCTTTCTCCTGGTACTGGAGCTTGAACCCAGGGCCTTTGCACTGAGCTACATCCCCAGCCCTTTCAAAGGTTTTTCTTTTGCAGAAGGGTCTCGGTCATCCAGGCTGGGCTCCGGCTTGGCCCCCATGTCGCCGGGAGGACAGGTGCACTGTGCCTGGTGGCTGGCAGTTTTGCAGGTGGAGAAGAGCACAGCCTGCCTCCTCTGCGCACTTTCTACCGTTCTGACCCAAATCCACCACACAGGCCCTCCGGCTCAGCCGGGCCTCCCTGTCTACCCCTCGGCCGAAACTGTGCTGCAAAATCCAGCTTACACCAACGCCAAAGTAGCTTCCAAGAAAGCCTGGGAGCAGGTGAAGCTGCCCGAAACCACGAAGACCCTGAGAAAGTGCACCCCAGTGACACTGTCGGGGGCAGGGCAGCTCCTGGGCTGGGCCAGGCCGAGAGCGGCTCTGGGAGGTCTGAGAGCTGTGGGATGACCAGCGATGGAGGCCATGGTGCTTGTGGGCCGAGCTGGATTTCACAAAAACCGTCTGGGTCTGACAACCGCTAACATTTCCAAGCACACGGTAAAGTAAATCCTGCAAAGTTTATGGTCCCCAGGACCCCACGTCTGTGCACACGGCCGCCCTCTGCCCCAGCCGCAGTTTTCCCCACAAGGTCCCTCCACTCACGCTGATGTCTTTCATCACATTATTACCAAATAGCCATGCTCCAAGTTTGGACCACTTTCTCCAAACCTACTTTTACTTAGACCCGAAATAAAGTATGGGTTTTTGGGGGTGGGGTGGGGTTACTTATTTACTTAGAGACAGGGCCTCGATGTGTAGCCCAGGCTGGCTTACACTCTATGGTAATCCTCCTGCCTCTGCCCCCCAAGTGCTGATATCGCAGGCATGCACCACCGCACACAGCTTAGACCAGAAATGCAACAGGGAGAGGCCTTTCGGACTCCGCCCTGAGCTGGCCTTAGAAGGCAGGGGTCACTTTGGGTTTTTTTGTTTTTTGTTTTTGGTATCAGGAATCGAACGCAGGACCTTGCGCTTGCCAGGCAGGTGGTTACCACACTGAGCTATATCCCCGGCCCGGCAGGGGTCACTTTGAAAGGACAGAGAGGCACAGGATTAAAGGAAGAGGAGGAGGAGGAGGAGGAGGAGGAGGAGGAGGAGGAGACCACAGAGCACGGGCCGGGCGGACTTACCACCGGGCTGGCGCGCGCCGAGCTGGCCCTGGAGGAGGCGCGGGAGCTGGAGTTGAGGTGACCGCTGTACTCCGCGGGCTGCCGTGGGCGCGGCGGATGTGCAGATGGAAACAGCACAGGGTGAGTGGAGCAGCGGCCAGGAGGAGCGGGCCGAGGGCGTGTCAGGTAGCAGAGAGGCGAGCAGAGGAGAGAGCAGGGTGAGAAGAAGCCCCAGTCTGTCACAGCCCAGTAAGTGCCCCCGCCCCAAACAGAAAAGAATCCCTCCCAACAGCCTGAGAGCAGTTAGTGAGGAGAAGACGAAGCACCCGTCCTGCCCAGCGCCGGCTTCGGTCACATTTCCTTTACACACCACAGCCACCTTCTCAGTGCAGAGCCCTTGTTTTGGTTATTTTTGAGACAGGGTCTTGCTCTGCAGTTTAGGATGGCCTTCAACTCCCGAGATCCTCCTGCCTCAGCCTCCCAAGGGCCGGGATGACAGGCGTGCACCACCCTGCCCAGCTTGCTGAAACCTTTTGACAACTGAAGCTGCTCAGAAACTGAAGAAGAGGACAGGGGGTTTGGTGGCGTCTGCACAAGGGAACAGTCCTGCTTCTCTGCTGTCTTCCACCAAGTGGAGACAATAAGATCTGGGGTTAACTCAAAACCTCGCATGGCTCTTTGAAGTGCTTGCTGGCCTTCCCCCGGGGGGCTGGGACCCTTTCCACCTGTCTGCCCATCCACTTGGGCCACCTTACTTCCAGTGAAGGGCAAGGCCAGGGCCAGGGCCACACTGTCCTGGGGTCAGCAGCTTAGCTTGGACTTGCACCATCTCCCTTCCAGTCTGCGACACATTTTCCCATTACAGGAAAACCCTTGTTTTCTCCTGAGCCAGGCAGGGTGGGCAGAGGCAGGAAGGGGACCCCAGTTAGGGTCACAAGCTTGGAGCAGATCCCAGTAGGCCCCGAGAGATAACCCCAAGGGAGACCTGAGCACCGGTGGTGGCGGGAACCTTGCCTCGAAGGCCCTGCCCTCACCCTGTGCAGCACCCCACACCATGTGCTCTCTGCCCGAGGCCAGCAGGTATCATCCCCGTTGCAAACGACAGGGAACCTCGATTGTCAGGGGCCCGGGTCTCCTCTCCAGCACCACCCCTCTGTCTGTCCGCCTCCCTTTCACCTGCTTCGGGCAGAGTTGGTGTGTTCTGACCCCTGATGAATCTCCAGTGGGCAGATGAGGTCTTGGATACTTGAAAAAAAATGCTTTGTCTTTGTTTTTTTTTTTTTCTTTTTTGAGACAGGGTCTCACTAGGTAGTCCAGGCTGGCCTCTAGCTCACTGTGATCCTCCTGCCTCAGCCTCACCAAATGAGATTAAAGGCATGCACTGCCACACCCAGCTCTGCTGGACTTTAGAGCACAGAAAAACCACCTCGTAGGTGGGCAGTTTCTTTCCATAACAGAGTGAGTGTGCTTCCTCTTTTCTGATACAAGAAAATCATTTAGTTCCACTTTATGCAGGACAGTTTTACCCCTTAGGCCTGGCTCAGGGCTCCTAATAACAAAAATGTTTAAGAACTGGGAAAGAGGTTCAGCCAGCGGGCTCCGCCACATCAAATGATCTATGCAGTAACAAGTTGGATCAGTGTTTGGATGTCAACAGCAACGAACGCTGTGTCATTACATATGGGACCGAATACTACTAAAAACTGCAACGTGAAGGAAACTTGGTTTAACTGGCTTTCCTCATGAGAATTTCCACGGTGGCCGGAGAAGCAGCGCAACGAACCAGGGAACTGGGTCAGCTCGTGAGGTAGCCCATTCCTCTCTGCTCTGCTCCCCTTCCTTCCCTCCTGCTGGGTGCTGCACCCTGGGCCTTGCGTGCTAGGCAAGCCTGCTACCCCGAGCCACCCGCAGCCCAGTGGCTGGTGAGTTTCAGAAGCAAAACTACAGCTGCATTTCAAGTGGTCTTCGTCAGCCTTCCTGCCCCACGGAGGGCGGGGGACATCTTACGGGGCTTGTGCAGGAGCCATTACGGCGGGACTCCCCTCCTCGCGGGGACCCAGGGACCCAGAGCCCCATTTCCGTTTCCGGAGGTGTGGGGGCAGGAAGCTTCCCCACCTCAGCAGCCCCGCCCCTCATCTTCCTGTTGCCTCTCCCGCGTCACCGAGAAGCGGCCCCTGTTCATCTGACAGCCGCGTCTGTCATTTCAAATCTGCTGACAGAGGAAGGGAGGCATCAAGAGGGCAGAAGGAAGTGAAACGCGTATGTTCCGGGTCCTTAAGCCTGTCCTTCTTCCACTATTCAGAGGCAAAAATTAGTAGCACCTGTCAGACTGCCCCTCTACCAGCTCCAGACCCTGCGGCTCGAGCCGTCTGTGAGCTGCAGGGAGAGGGCAGGAGGCCCAGTCGGGGCTGGCCTCCTCTGACCCCAGTAACTGAAGAGCGAGGACCCACTACCGACAGTCCCACTGCAAACAGAGGCACGACCCTGTGTCCCCACGCTGGACCCGCACCCCAAGCACCCCAGGGCCATGCAGTGCTGGTGGCACAGGACGAGAGGTGAGCGGGAAACACAGAAGCGCCTTACAGCCAGGGAACTGCAGGCGCTGCCCCGCCGAGCCAGGTCGATGCTGCTCTCTTGGAAGACAGATGCCTGCGAGGCAAAGGGACCATCAGGACGGCGCCTCCCTCCCGCCTGGAGCCCAGGAAGCACGCAAGGTGACTAGGGTGCCGCGTGCCGGGCGCGTCCCAGGGACACCGTGCAGGGCAGCTGGATGCCACTCCTCCAGCTCTTCACCAGAGACCCAGGGACGTGCACAAGTTCCAGTCGCTGTCAGTCTTCGTGCAGCTGGATCTCCAGGGCATCACTAAATCTGTGTTTTGGAAAGCACCCCACGCTAAGGAGAAACGTGTTAATCCAGATTCCAAACCAGCAGGCCAGCCAGCACCCCGAGGGTTATCAAGGCATCCTCATACTTGTCGTGTTAAAACATGACGCTATGTGAGCTTAGAGTAAAATATTAAATCATGTTAGTTACATTTCAGTGTTGAAGTGTGCAACTCTGCAAGTAGCTAAGTTGAAGGCAGGACACTTGGTTGCCCTGAAAATGCTACGTAGTTAGTCACAGAAACGGGAGCTTACAGTTCCGCATAGGGTGATGTCAACCTGCCCAGTGTAATGGAGCCTTTAGTGCAGCCGTAACCTCCCGCTTCCCTTCTGGACACACTAAAGCTGTTCACACCTCTCTTCTGTAAGTGCACGAGCTGGGGGAGGCGCTGCGTGGTGCAGCAATGCAGTTGCCCTGAGTACTTAGCTGAAGCTTCCTGAAGTGCGTAAGTACCCGCACTGAAAGCTGGAAATTTCCACAGGAACACAGGGACATGGGCTGGAATCTGCCCACAGGGAACAGCTGCTGTCTTTCTGCCAACAAGAAAGGTGCAGGCTGCCCTTGCTCCACCCAGACTAAGGACCCTGTGCAAGGCGGAGTCTCCCTGGACATGGGGCCGTGTGACAGCCCTGCCTGCAGCCAGGACAGAAAGCCCAGACCTGGCCGAAGAGGGCTGACAGCACCCGGGCAATGTAAGCTCCACGGAGAGGTGACATTCGCAGCAGGGCTGGACACTGCGTAGACGGAGGGGCGCATGCGCAGGCCGGGCTGGGGACCACGCACCCGGTAACTCCCTGCAGGCCGGGCCGCGCCGCACAGATAGGAGGGCTGTGGGGAGAGAGCAAAGGCAAGCGTTGAAAGCCTTGGATAAATGGCCCGGGCTGTCCTGAGAAGAGGAAGGGCCGATGCGGCACCGAGTTCTCAGGAAGCCGGACGCGGACAAAGCCAACAGTTACAAGAAAGGTGTAGGAGTCGATCTTTCACTTTAACACGTCAACTCTGACCCACTGCTGTTTTCTAGTCAATTCTCAGGCAGTCCTGGAAGAGGGCGGGGCAGGGCAGACTGTCACGGGCCAACAGCAGCAGGCACGTGGCACAGCCTGTGACTCAATGCCAAGGTGGGGGCGGCCTGCAGGCTTCGGCACAGCTGCCCACTGTACCTGAGGGTCCCCATCTCAGTGCCCCACCTCCTCTCCCCAGGGCGGAAAATGCTAGAAAACTCCGTCTGCGCTGAGCACGGTCGCACTGCCTCCTGTCCCCGTTCCCCGACAGCTCGGCACACCAACCACCTGCAGGCTCTTACGCAGTCCTCGGTCCCACGCGTACGTCACCGAGGGAGGGAGGGAGGCCGAAGGAGAACAGGAGGACGGCTGGGGGTGCTTCCAGAGCCTTCAAGGAAACACCCGAGCCACAGGCTCGCCACACTGCACTAGGCTCTCGTAAATGACAGCATTTACTGGGGGGCTGGGACCGCAGCAGACTCTGGCTTTCTCGGGGTCCTGGAGGCAGGTCCCCCTCAGGTACCAGGACAACCATGCAGAAACCCACGGGTGGACAGCGTGCCTCTCTTCCACGGTCAGAAACACAGACACAGGTGAGACCGCAGGGGGCTCTGGAGGCCAGGCTGGCGCTTCTTGCAGCCCGACCCTGTGAAGGGGCACCCAGGCCGCAGGGGGCTCTGGAGGCCAGGCTGGCGCTTCCTGCAGCCCGACCCTGTGAAGGGGCACCCAGGCCCAGAAGGCACGTCACGGTGACACAGGGGCGGCGGACACGCTGGGACACCAGGCAGCTTGGGGGGCACACAGGCAACGAGGGTCTGTTTCCAGGCCCCCGCCGGGCACACGGAGCAGGCGGGAAGGTGCACGGCTGGGCGGGGACACAGCAGCTCTCGTGCGTGTGAGGAGAGGAGGACGTTCAACCTCCAGAACACGGTGTGCACTGGACGCAATGCCCACCTCCTGGGGCACCGCACTCGGCACCTACGGCAACAAAGGCCACGCAGCCGGGGCCTGAACGCAGGCCTTGTGAAAACAGGAAACACGGAGGCAGCCAAAGAAATACCCTGGTTCTGCCTCTCCGGGCCAAGGAGTCAGAGAGTGCCCAGAGACCTTCCAAACTGCTTCCCGGATGCATTTACCAAAGAAAAGTACTTTTTCAAAAAACAACCTAAAACCCCAAATGGGGAACAATTGGTGGAAACGGAGGGACCCAAGAGACCAATTTTCTGGACTGGAGCTCTTGAAAATACACACTGCACAGAGCGCTCCTCTGCAAAAGTCCTTTTTTCTGTATGTGGTCCTGAGATAGAGAACAGTGCTCAGCAGACTGGCCGCCAGTCCAAACACAGGCTGAACCTGGCGGACACCGTACAGAGGAGGGTGGAGTCCCCACCCAGGAGCTCCCCAGAAGAGTGCCCGGGTGGGGCGGAAAGGGAGGGGACAACCGGGTTTCCATTCTGGACAGACTGCAGTGTGGGAGCAGGGCCAGCCCTGGGGAGCCTGAGGAGGCCGGAGCAGGAGAGTCCCTGGAATCAGGGAAAATGGGAGGGCAGGCGAGGAGAAAGGCTGATACCTTCCCTTCCTTTCAAAGGTCCCTGGGCACCATAAACTCAGACCGATTTCCCTTTCTGGCCAGTACTTATGGGGCAGGGGAAGGAATTAGAGGGGTCAGTTACTGGCAAAAGGATGGGGGACAAATCAGAGTTTCTAAATCTACAGACAGAAAGAAAAAACACTGATTTATTTATTATGGCTTTTTGAAACAGGGTCTTGCTATGTAATGCAGACTGGCCTTGAACGTATGTTGATCCTTCCACCTCAGCCTCCTTGATGCCGAGCTTTCAAGTTTGTGTCACTAGGTCCAGATTAAAATTTTTTTTATTTTTTAATTTTTTGTCTTTTTTTCTGGTACCAGGAATTGAACTCACGACCTTGTGCTTGCCAGGCAGGCGCTTTGCCGCTGAGCTAAATCCTCATCCCCCAGATTAAAATTTAATCATTAGCAGTTATATAGAGATTTTGGTCTTTGCGAACCAAGTTCTACTTTTTCATGTCTGGTGGGAAAACCTAATTCAGGAATCTGCAGATGTAACAATCTCTATTTATACAACAAAATTCTCTTATTTTTCCGAAACAGGGTTTCACTGTGTATGTAGTTCAGGCTGGCCTCGAACTCATAGTGATCCTCCTGCCTCAGCCTCCCAAGTGCTGGGATTATGGGCATATGCCACCACGCTGGCTATAGTAAAATTCTTTGGAGATGTTTTCCTGCCTGGCCCCTGTGGGTGGGCATTAACTCGAGAGCAGACTCAGGATTCAAAGGTGTGGTAAACCGAGCAGCGATACTGATACCAACAGTCTGGGGAATTTGACTGTGTTAAGTCCACAGTTTCCCAGATAAAATGATTTACACAAATCCAAGGGTCTTCTGAGGAGAGGTGGTGGCCTTGATCTGTACCCTGCCCGTCTCGTAAGGAAGGGTGACCCCTGAAGACAGCGGCTCTGGTAAAGGCACCCGGCAGGGCCACCGCCTTTCAGTGCCCAGTAGCTGCGCCTTGAATGGGCCACACCAGCAGCCCAAGGGGGAGGCAGGCAGGACTCTGGGAGCTGGGAGGAATTTCCAGGCAGCACAGACACTGGCACTGGCACCTGCTGCTGTGGAAGCTGGTCCTCTCCTGGAGAGGCCGCCCTGTGGGGAAGCCACCCTGTCAACCCCTCTGAGGGGACAGATGGCCTGCGGGGTCACACAGCCACAGCCGGCAGCCAGAGCTGCGGCATCAGCCCAGGGTCTGCAGCTGGCCCACCTGGAAGACAAGAAAAGCTACCAGGTTACCCCTGTGCCCTTGCCGACCCAGTCTGTGTCGGCAGCCAAATCCAAAGGGCCAGGCGCGTGCTGCAGGCGGAGGCAAGTACCCACAGGACACGGCCACCAGTGCCGAGGGGTCGGGGAGGGCCGGGCTGCAGGGGGGCCTGCCCCGAATCCTGGCTGCAGGGCCTGAAGGCTCAGCCCTCACTGGACCTTGCTTGGACATGGCTCATTTCTTTTTTTTTTTTTTGGTTTTTCTCCGGTACTGGGAACCGAACTCACGACCTTGCACTTGCCAGGCAGGCGCTTTTTGCCGCTGAGCTAAATCCCCAGCCCCCGACATGGCTCATTTCTGTTCGGTGAGTTGCAGGGAGCAGCTCACACGCAAGCTAAGGCCTGGCACAAGCGTCTCTGTCCAGTGGAAACCAGGCAGAACCAGTTTTCTGAATGCTGCTCTCCCAAACAGCAAAACCTCCGGGATTACGAATCCGCACCCACACTTTGGTGCTTAGTGAGACCTCCCTGGGGGCCACCCCTAAAAGAGGGGGCTTTGTGGGCACTGGGGCAGCAGGAGAGTGGGCTAATGAGCCAAAGGGGAGAAGGGGCCCACACCTGGAGCCCCCTGGGCAGGGCGGATGCAGCAGGGTGAGGAAGAAGGGACAGGGGTTAGACCACTGTGGCAGAGGGGGGATCTGGAGGGGACGAATGGCGCCAGGGCTGCCCGGCCCAGAAACACTTTAACGAGGTCAGAGATTACATGGGGATCAGGAGAGGCACCAGGGGGTTCTGCCTTCTCCGCTCGGATTCTGGGGGCAGTGGGTGTCGGGGCCAATGGGCACACTGCCACCCCGGGTCTCCCTGGGTCTTGTTCTTTCTGGGTTGCTTTTCCCCAGGTGTCCACCCCTGGCACGCTTGGTTGGGACCAATCTTCCTGTGCGCTCCTCCACTTACGCGGCACCAGGAGGACCTCTCTCCGTGATGGGGCCCCGCCATCCTTCCCCGCCTCCATGACCTCCTGGTTTGGCTGGGTGAAGATGAACGGGGACTGACGCACAAGCTCAGCCACCCGGCTGCTCAGTGACTCGGAATCCGCCTGTCGGGACTGATGGGCGACCTGCTGTGCGGACACCTGGACTGGACTGGATTTTCATTCCACACCAGTCTGTCCCTGGGAAACTGCTAAGCGTGAGCATGAACAAACTCTCCAGGAAAGAAAGCTGAGGCATTCTCCTTATTTTTTCCCTTTGATTAATTCTAATTTAAAAATCTAAACTGGTTGTGGTCTGTAATCCCAGCACCTGGGAGGCTGAGACAGGAGGATCACTAAGGGTTTGAGGCCAGCCTGGGCTACACAGTGAGTTCAAAGCCATATGAACTACATAGTGAGACCCTCTCTCAAACAAACAGGCAAATCTACACAGAAATATGCTCTTCAGTGCCGTCAGCGGAGTCCCACAGTCAGTGAGGAGAAGCAGGGCAGCGAGGTCTGAATGGGAAGCCTCCGGTTAGTCACGTCACAAAGCGCCTGTCCCAAGGGGACCTGGTAAAATGCGGACTCAGGAGAAAGGGCGAGTTGAGTTCACACACACACACACACACACACACACACACACACACACATGGGCGTGTGCGCACACGTATGCAAGCCTGCATGCTCTAGAACCTGTAGTTTCTGAAGACAGGATGGAAAGAATTAAATGCAAACCAACCAGCTTCTCCTCCCTGGGCGATGACAACGTGGAGAATCTGCCGTCTCCGCTGTAGCTGGAGTTCTGAGCACCCAGAGAGAAGACAGCTGTCAGCTATGACCCCCAAACCACCGCCTGCCCCTCCTGCAAGGTGAAAGTGAGCCCGGCATCGGACGTCGGGTAGCGAGCAGCTGGAGAGGAGAGGGGCCGGCCTGGCGCCCCGGCTGTGTCCTGCTGTGCTTCACGCCTCAGAACTGCCTCAGTGCTTCTTCCGTCCCCACACCTGACTCTCCGCTTTCCATACTGCTCGTCCTCAGGGAACTAAATTCTGTTTATTGCAAGTTATTCCGTCTCTCGTCAGCCCCACACCCGAGGGCTGAGCTCAGCCCCGAGCGCCCGCCCTGCCAGCCGAGCGCTGTGCGCGGAAGGACGCCGGCCCTGCCCGACCCGAGCGCACACTGGAAACGTCAGCGCCGACCACAGATGTGGACGGACCGGGCTGGCCCGTGTGAAGCTGCAGACGAGGCACGCGATGGCGCTGTGGAGAACCCAGTGGGGCGGCGGCTGCCCAAGCTCTTCCGGGGTGGGCCGTGCAGGCCTTCCTGGAAACAGGTATCCCCACACCTGGAAGGCGTCTCCTCACCTGCAGGCTCTCCACGGTCCGCCTCACACAGGCGCTGTGGTTTGCGTCCTCAGTACTGAGAGGTTATTTTGGTTTTCAAACAGCACACTTTCTGATTACTTATTCAATCAATTTTACAGCCAACTGCACTCCGCAAGCAGAGTTAGAGCCAGGTCCTGCTGCGTGTGGGATTTCTAGCAGCACTCCACACGTCTCCACAGTGCAGCCCACCTTTGCGGCCTTCATGTAAGAATCAAAGATGAAACTACGCAGGGTATGTATGGCGCAGGTTGACGTCACCCTGCTCCGCCCTGCCTTAGGTGTGTGACAACCCCGTGGTGGGGACATCCTAGAGAACATGGTACTGGGCAGAAGCTGGACAAAAATCTTACAGTAACGTCCAGCCCTGGCCTGGGACTCTTTGTGATCAGTCACGGTGGAACAGCACATCCAGGGGAAGGCTGCGGACAAGCTCGAAACTCCTGTCAGCAGCCCAGGGCCGCCGGGGAGCGCTGCAGCTGCCCTCCGGGGACACAGGGAGCCTGCACCAGCGCAGTGCTGAGCACACTCCGCACAGGCGTGTCCCACAGGCGTGTACAGGGCATGGCGGGCTCCTCGCCTGTGCCCGGGCTCTGTGCTGCCTCGGAAGCACACAGGTGTGGGGTGAGGGGCACAGGCAGGGTCTTGCAGCTGGAAGGACCTAAAAGCCTGGGGTGTAAAAGCTCAGAGAAAACGTGAGCAAAGCCTGCGCAATCCCGCGGGGCGGGGTGAGGTGCACACAACCTGTCCAACCAGTTCTGGGAAGCTGAGATTGCTGCTTTAGTAGGGGGTGGGGCATGGGTCACCCATGCAAAGCCTAGGAATAAAATTTAACTGACTCTATAATATCCTTAGCACAGCACAGTTAAAATAAAAATTAAAATGCTGTGAAATGTATTTGTAAAAGAGAAAAAAATGCCAGCACAGGAAAGTTTTAGAACAAACCTATGGCGCATAATGAGGCTTCACCACAACGAGCCCGGTCAGCCTGCACTCCCCAGGGCACAGCCGCCTGTGACCAGGGCCCCTCCCGCCTCTCCCTGCAGAGCAGCACTCCGCCTCCGCTGGCTGCCCTCAGCTGGCACCTGCTTCCCCGCCTGGCCGTGAGCATTCCATCCCTGTAGTTAAAATTCAGTTCTCCTCCCCAGGAAAACTCGGACTCCTACCTGTGCTCTTTCAGATAAATACCTGAACTACAAGGAGAGAGCTGGAGAACTGTGGAGGTGTCAGACGCGAGTGTGCGTGCAGCTCAACTTACCTGTACCCTCCACACATAGTACCACAAGCGTCATCTTTAATCTACATTTAAACTTTAAAGTTCCATCTGGTTTTAAACTTAAGAGATTCTTAACAACATGGACCTCTTCGAAACACCTAGAATGTCAGTCATCCTGAGAATGTCTGAGAGCACTCTGGGAATGTCTGCTAGCTGGAAAACATTATCTTTCACCCTACCGCGCTAGAAAAAGAAGACCTCTTACAAAAACGAGCTAAATTTAGCCGCGACTCTTAGCAGCTTTCAAGCAACCTGCGTGAGTGCCACGCCATGCGAGCCGGCTGTACTAACCCTGCCGGATCTTCTGCTCACCGGCTGCGGTCCGGACAACTCTCCATCATAACCATTACTCTGCATCAATGAAGAAAAGAGAAAACCCACATCAGTATGCAAATGAAGACAGGCACAAGTCAGCAAGGAAAATCAGCAGGGCAAGCTATGCTTTCTCAGAACAGGGGGTGCAGGGACGGTTTGGGGTGATGCACAGCCCACACCCCCATGCATCCCAGCCTCACGTCCACACAGCTCCAACCGGGAGAAGCCAAGTCAGGCTATGTGACATACAGGTCCTGCTTGGCTCTAAGGTCGCCCTGTGGGGTGAAGCTACGACCGGGGCAGCTGCTTCTCACTAGTCACTGCTACTTTTTCACCCAGTTTTAGGGCAGCACTGCAGAAATTCTCACTTTTGGAAGGCCGGGTGTCAGGCCATGGGTGGGAGCCCATTAGATTTCAGGCCACAGTTCAGGGTGAGTCAGGGGAAATTACAGCGCAGTATGAAATACCATCATAAGATTCAGAAATAGTTTCTTTCAATTACATGCAATGCTCAGCCGGGCGTGGGAGGTGCGTGTCTGTAATCCCAGCACTTGGGAGGCTGAGGCAGGAGGATCATCATGAGTTTGAGGCCAACCTAGACTACAAAGCAAGTTTAAGCCCCACCTGAACTATACAGCAAGACTCTGTCTTAAGAAAGAAAGAAAGAAAGAAAGAAAGAAAGAAAGAAAGAAAGAAAGAAAGAAAAGCAATGCTCAACTGGCTGTGGAAGGTGCACACCTATAATCCCAACACTCTGGGAGGCTGAGGCCTGAGGATCAAAAGTTCGATCCCAGGCTGGGGGTCTTAGTGAGGTCCTGTCTCAAAATGAAAAATTAAAAGGACGCCTAGGAAGGTAACTCAGTGTGTTCAATTCCCACCTCTGAGAAGGAAGGGAGAAAGGAAAGTTGGAAGGCAGGCCCCAAGCTGAACAGGGAGAAGTGTTTATTCAGGGACCATGGTCCATAGTAGTTCCTTCTTTCATCCAGGCTCCCTACTTTATTTCTCAAAGTGAGACCAGAGGATAAACTGAAGGAAGCCCTAGCCCGTCCTCCAGGAACGAGGGAGGCGCCTGTAAGGGTCTGCAGCTCCTCTGCCTGTCTCCGAGCCCAGGTCCCCTCCAAGTGCTCCCGTCCTTCTATCCTGTGCCGTGCTGGTTCACGTAAGACCTGTGCACCGTAGGGGACGGAGGAGGAAGAGAAGCCTTGAACCTGCGCACCTGATAAGGAGGGAGGCAGGTGCCCGTCACAGCGAGAGGCCCAGATCCAGGCCCAGTTCGGAGTGTGCCCTCAGGCCAGTTATTTAATCCACTGGCACCTCCCCAACAAGACTGCTCGACATGGAAACGCAGGTCAAAGGCCGGTAGGGTTTGGACCAAATCACCCCTTTGCGATGTCTTTAGAAACTAGTTTTCGGAGCCAGGTCCTGTGCTGCACAAGAGTAATCCCAGCTGCTCCAGAGGCAGAGGCCGGATCGCAAGTCCTGAGGCCAGACAGGCAACTTCGTGAGGCCTGTCTCAAAATTTAAAACTCTATAAACAGGGCTGGGAGTGTGGCTCAGGGGTAGAGCCCTTGCTCAGCATGCACAAGGCCCCGAGTTCAATCCCTGGCACTGCAAAAAAGAAAAGCTAGTTTGGGGAAGAAATGGACACGAGGCTACAGGCTGACACGGAGTGATGCCAGCTGACTCTACACCAGTGAGGGAGGGAAGGGTGGCACACACATAAACCCTCGCCCCGCCCTGGCTGGGGGTCCCTCCTCTGCTCCACCCGCCCCTCGCTGACCCCTGGCAGGGAGACACAGACGGAGAGCCGGGCAGCAAGCGCTCACTTCCACCGAGAGAAACGTCCTCTGCAGGCCGTCGGGGTGCAATGGCCTGCGCCCCGCGGGGGGATCACAAGCCTAGAAAGCACCCGGCCCCTGCCACAGGGTCTGGCTGACAGCTCCCCCAGACAAGCAGGCCCACCTCCTACCAAACCCCGCCCCCGTCTCCGCGGCTGCCGTGTCCCGGTGCACGGAGAGGGGCGGGGCGGGCTGCTTCCACAGGACAGCGCAGGGCTCAGAGGCCGACGGGGGACTGTCCGACACTGCTCGGAAAGCCCGGGCACGGCACACGGGCGGCCTCCGAGGTCAGGTCCCCGACCTGGGCTGGTTTCGCCCCATGGAGCCCCGCCCCGCCCCTCCCGAGTGGCTTCTCCAGGTACAGGCGCCTGCTCTCCTGGTGGGTCACACGCACCCCGCAGCCCGGAACGTGCGCTGTGACATCCCCTCCCCCGGCGGCCTCCCAAACCGCAAGCGAGAAGCACTTAACGCAGCGGAAAAGCACACGCACAACGCTGCGCTTTCCGCGGCGCGGGCCAGGAGGAAGAGGAAAAGCCCTGCCACTCCAGACGCAACGTGCGACCCGCCAGGCTCTAAGGACTGCTGTGCAGCTGGCCCCCGTGACCGTGCAAAAGTCCCCACCAGCTCTGCCCATTAATAACGTTAGATTTCTGTTTTTCTGAGTCACACCGCAGGCACATTTTAAGGGTGTTAGAGATGCGAAACCAACAAGCAAGGGTAAATCAAAAATTTTGAGCACAGTGCCTGGTGCATTTGATTCAATTTTAAAAGTGGCATGGAAAACTGAAATCTGAAATGTGTCCCTTCAACCAAGTCTTCTGTGAGATGACAGGCCTAAGAATGGGTTGGTAACGCTTTGAATTCCTTCAAGAACAGGAGAACTGCTATCTATAGTGTCCCAAAGTGCTCTCACCCACCAGTGTGGGTATGGCCGCAGATAAGTAACAGGGCACTTCCAGAACGTGCGCCCCTGCCACGCCAGCAGGTCTGTGCTTGGCCGGGCCTGGATGGACACGGTGGCTCTGGACCTCCAGCCCCATCAGGACCCTGGGCAGATCACACGTGCCGGGCTGGCTCACAGCACTCTTGGTTAATGACCATCTTAATCATAAAAGGGCACTTTAAAAATGAGAATTTGCCAAATAATTTCAAAAAGAAGCAGTAACCGGCGAAGCACCAAATGCTCTAGATCTGGTGTACACGGTGCTCTGACGACTGGAGGCCCGGTCACCTACGTGCGGAGCCCGGCTCCTGGGTGAGATCGGAGTTTTCTCTTGTGAGTGTTCTGAGAGCAGCAGGCAGAGACTCACAGTTATAACACCAGTAGTTCAGGCTGAATCAAAAGCCTTTGTTTCTGTTACCCCTTCCCGGCTTTCTCAGAGGGTATTTGCTGGCAGAGAGCAGAGGTATATTTAATTTAAAGGGTTAGAAAACAAGGAGGTTTTGACCAGGGATACAGCTCAGCGGCATAAGAGCCTGCCTGGCAAGTGCAAGGTCCTGAGTTCAATTCCAGGTACCAAAAAAAGAAAAGAAAACAATGAGATTTTCACTAGGTGAAATGACTGCATTTAATCTTTGAGAAAAAATTTAGAGGCCTTTGGATATTTTGGCCCAAGTGGGTTCTCTGAAGGCTGACCCACCCGTTTTACCTGGGCGCGCAGAGCCCCTGTCCGGGCTGGTGGACGGCTGCACTCAGAGCCTGGGCCTGAGCAGCCACGCACCTCGGTCCGGCTCTGGGCCCGAGGGGGCACGCCCAGCACTGGCTCTAGCACTGTGCCATACCCAGCCAGCCTCTCAGGCAGCACCCGAGGAGAGTGGAAACGCCGGGGCATGTTACGGGTCACACCACACAGTTAGGATCACACAGCAGGTCGTATGCGACCGTCTCACCCAGGCGTAGGGACCCCCGGACTCTGGGTCAGGCTGCGACTGGTGGGGTGAGGACAGCGGGAGCAACAGGAAGAAGACCAAAAGTGAGTGAAAAGCTCATCAGAACACCAAAACAGTGACAGTCTCTAAGATCTTAACAGAAATGCATTTTCCATGACCTCTAGGATCTTACATATATTTATAAAAAATTTATACTACAACAGTAGCAACCATAAAAATTCAGACTGCCATAGCAACAGGTACTATAATTCATAAAATATGAAATGGTTTGAGCAACTTAGTTCTTCCTTTACATAATACAGTCTCATTAAGGTAGAAAAAAGCTAACAGATGTATGACTTCAGCTTTTAAATAAAAAAAAAATTAAAATCTTATATCTGAAGAGGACCATCCAAGGAGACTCCAGAACAGGAAAATCTTCCCTGGCCTTCTTAGGGTTTGCAGTAAGTGCCCAGGAATGCAGGAAGCTGAGGAATTGAAGACAACTGATCTTACATTAGAACTCCGTGGGGTCCGGTGTGGGGCACCTGCTGTGGAGATGGCCACTGCCCCAGGCCTGGGGCAGTGAGCACCGGAGGTGTCGCTAAGAACAGGACTGAGCAGGACTCTCAGGCACCTTGGGCTTGTTCTGCCCCTATTAAAATGAGTAGGCCAGCAAGGCACAGTGGCACATGCCTGTAATTCCAGCACTCAGGAGGCTGAGTCAGGAGGATCACAACAAGTTTGAGACCAGCCTGGGGTACATAATGAGCCCATGTCTCCAATACATCCTAAGTGAATGAATGAATGAATGAGTCTGATTCTGCTCTCAAGTTCTAAGGTTTTCAAAGACAGCCTGCTTCTTTAGGGCCCCTCTGGGAAAAGTCTGGCCTGCAGACCTGCAGTGGAAAATGAAAGTCCCAATGACTTTCTCCTCTCTCCCTTATTCAGTGTGTGGTCTGTGGGCTGCTGGCCTGAACTACACCCTGAATACACTTGCTACCTTGGCAAGGAGCAGGGGCCAGCAGAGAGACTGAACTCGTTTTTCTGGTTAAGAGCTTTGAAAGAGAAATGAAGGCCCCCGGCCCTCCGGAATGCTCATTAGTAGACAACCCCTCAGACTCTCTGGGGGCAGGAGGCCCTCTGAGAACCTTAGGAAAGTGACCACCCTTTTCCTAGAGCGTGGTGAATCCCCACAGTGCTCACACAGTTGCAGGAGGAGCACAGATTGAAGAGGAGACATGTGGATAGAGAACTGAATTGCTTCCACCTCTCTCCTATTCTCCTTTGATTCCCTACCAGTCAGGTTTTATGGATTTTCCCGGCATTTGTTATTTTTTTTTGAAACAGGCACTCACTAAGTGGTTCAGGCTGGTCTTGAACTCACTAGGTAGCCCATGCTGGCTTTGAACTCAAGGCAATCCTCCTGCCTCAGCCTCCTGAGTGCTGAGATTACAGTTGTGTGACAACACGCCTGGCTTTATCAATAAGGTTTTCTCTCACCATTGCCATCAGAGAAGTTCTCTTGGCAATGCTAAATCCAGCAGGCAGTGCTGCCATCCCCTGGTCCCTCCCCAGTCCCTTCCTTGGCTTCAAGGACTCAGCCTTCCAGGCCTGCTCTCCATGTCTGTGTCCTGGCCCCAGAGTTTACAAACTGAGCTTTGAATTTACGACATTTCCTTCCCCTAGAGTGGCTGTGTCACAGGGACCTTGTGGAAGTCACAGCGGGATCACAATGCCTAGGCCCCAGATAGCTGGGTGGCCCTCTACCCCATCCCGCGGGAGTTGTAACCGTCCCACAAAGCCACCCACATCCGTGTTAGTGCTGCAGAGATGGGGATGCCACCAGAGTGGCTCAGCAGCTCCAGGACAACGCTTTCAACAGGCTGTCAAAAAAAGCGCACACTTAGTGCACATGTAAGTCGAGGGGCGGAGTTATGAGCTCAGTGGCACAGAGATGGAAACCAGCCTTCGGGTCTACGCGGTCCCCTTGCAGCTGCTTCCAGGCCCATTAGGACCTGCAGGAGACAGAACCTCGGCCTCGTCGGAACCAAAGCCGACATGCTCAGGGGGACTGACTAAGTTAAGGCAACAACAAATCAGCTTCCCTACTTCACTCCCGGAGCACACAATCTCTTCAAGCATGATTATAAAAGTTCTGTAAGCAGTTAAGGAAAACACATTGACATATATGTGTGTATATAAATAATTAGTCATTAAATCGCCAGTGCTGAAGAGATTTCCTATCGTTAATGAAAGGAAACAGACTCCTGAGGTAGACACAGGTCTAACCCTTTTTGTACCAGGCAACTTCCAGCAACTATGCAAAATTATCACCGAATAATAATGAACTTACAGCTATGTAACCTGAGATTCCAATTTTGTTTTGTTTTTGAGATAGGGTCTCATTTTGTAGTTCAAACGGGCCTTGAGCTCACTATGTCAGCCAAGCTGGCCTCAAACTTGCTGCGATCCTCCTGCTTCTGGCTCCTAAGCGCTGGGATGATAGGCGTGCACCACCACAGGTGTGCAATTTTATCCGGAGTATGTGAGGGGCCACACAGCCTTGCTGAAGGTGGAACGTGCCTTCTTACCAATTCTGAGACAACTGTTCTCAAGGTGCAGTGGTTTTGTGATGTAGAGAAATACTAGAAAGCAATGACTTCTGCTCTTGGAAGGACGCGGACGTAAGTGTCTATGCACATTAAGGCCTCTTTACGACAGCAAAGAAACCCCATCGCTTCAATTTTAAACAAGCATCTCCTCAGTGAGGTATTGGCCGTCAGACCCCAGGGACCAGGGAGAGGGTGGGATGCGGGACGGGAGGGTAGGGCTCGGCTACACGCTGTGCATGCAGACCCAGCCCCCGGCACTGACCCAGCCCCGGTACTGACCCGCAGGCTGCCTCTGCTACCCACTGACAGGCGCTCATCCTCGTCCGAGGCCTATTGAGAGAAAGGAGAACAGCTGTGAAGTGAGGACGGCGCCTACAGACAGGCGCAATGCCCGGCTGCCGCAGAGGACACAGCTGACCGGGCCGGTTCCTCCGGATGAGCTCCGGGGATGCAGGCCCAGGTCCTCGGCAGCACACGGCCTGTTTATGGATAACATGGATTCAGCTTCTTCCAGTGATAATATCTCATCAGAGGTAAGTTATACATAAGCCCCCAGGTATATCACTATGTAAATTACCCATGAATATTCAATAGCAAAAAGCACTGAAAACGCCACACTTTTCTCAAACACACCCTCACACTCTTACCAAAGTTAGACTGAAATGCTGAAGGCTGGCTTCGTAGTCTTTGCTCAGACAGTAACACCAGCGTGTTCGAAGCATTAGTAAACACCCACTTCAGTCACGCGGTGCACAAAGCAGGCTTCAGCCCAGAGCCCAAGTAACGAGAAGAGCGGTACTAACCGAGGCGAGTCTCCGGGACCTGCGCGAGTAGCGCTCGCTGTCCTCCTACCGAGGCGAGGAGGGAGAGCAAGAGAGAGTTAGGGGTGCATGGAGAGGAGCTGCGCGGGCCGCAGATGCCCCCAGGCCAGGCGGCGTCCCTGGCCCAAATGTCACTAAATGTTTTCTTTGCCTTTACTTAAAGGTTTCAACAGGGGTGGGGGTGGGGGCAGGGGGGGGAGGATTTCCTCTCAGGTGCTGGTCCTCGGCACAGGAAGGACTGCTGTATTTCATCCTGGGCTTCAAATCGGCAAGCCTGGGGCCCAGAGCTCTGTCTTAATTTTTTCTAACCTCTCTGATCCGATACATTTAAACGGAAGGTTGGTTTCAGAGTCTTTGTTCAGGCAGTGGTGTCAGCATTAGCAAACTTCTCCCTGGGTCGGAGAAGCCAAAATAGCGGCCCACAGGCCTGAGTCTCCCTGTCCTCTACATCACACGCGGGTCCGCAGGCCGCAGCAGCGGACCTCCATCACCTGAGGTCATCTGTGCTGGGGACCGGGACCAGGGCCAGGGCACACTGTCCTGCCAGGTTCGCAGAGGCTAGGACCCCAGAGGGCATGGAGAGGCCAGCGGCCCAACAGCCAGGACAGGAAGAGGTGGGTGAGTGCATGCGAGGTGCGGAGCCGGACGTGGGGACCCGTGGGGATGCGTGCCCCCTGCCAGGTGGGCTCTCCTTGTTGGGGGGCAGAAGGGTCACTGTGGTGCGTGGAAGAAGTAAAGGTCTTTGCGTGCCCCATGGGACGAGAGGACCTGACTGCGGTGCATGAAGGCCAGGGTGGGGGTGGCAGGGGAGCTGACCGCAACCCCAAAGGAATGCCGCCAAGGCCCCTGCGGCTCCAGCTAGAGCACCACGGTGTGACGGCCACAGGCGCTGCTCAGGAAGGTCCTCATTCCAGGGGCTGGGGCCTGACACACAGGCGGGCAGCCAGGCCGGGCTGTTTCTAAGCAGGCTGCATTCGGAGATGTAAACAGTCAGAACCAGACGGGGCCAGGCCCGGAAGCAGACCTCTCGGTATCAAATTACCGGGCGGTGGGGATCTATCTACATGATTACACTGCCTAAGAATCAAATTATACAGCACTTTATGTCTCCAGAGTGTATTCAAGGCCTACCATCCACTGCTCGATGTCACCCCATTTAGTATCCAGCCCATAATATTTCTAAGAAAGAAGGGAAAAAGAATTAGGCAGGAAGTAAAACAGTGAGGGCCCAAGAGACTGTTCTGACATGCACGTCCCACCGCCCCAGGCCCCGCGCCTCCCGCAAAGGTCCCCGTGAAGGTCACATGCCAGGCAAAGCATCACAGCGTGGGGGCCGCAGAGGAATCCGCCTGCAGGGGTCCCACGCCCCGCCCTGCAGCCACTCCCAGGCCGGCGATCCCAGGCCGGCCCTCAGGAAGCTGCTCTGCAGCAAGGCTGGGAGAAGCAAAGCTGAGAGCCAGGAAGGGGGAGGCCAGCGGGAGGGGCTGCCTCGTGCTGTCCCCAGGCCCCTGTGCTGAAGGAAGGGAGAGCTCAGAGGAGCCGGGTCTTTACCCAGGACCCGCACGGGAGGGCGTGGGCAGACCTGCGGTGCCGCCCGGGCTGGCCGCTGCCCACAGAGCTGCAGCTTCACCTGCTAATACAGACCCCCGGGGCCGCGTCTGACTGCGGGCTCAGGCTCAGTGTCTGCCACTGTCACCGAGTACAGCGCCCCCCCCAGGTCAGGGGATGTGGCTGGAGCCCCAGACAGCAAGGCTTTGCCTTTCTTCTTACTTTCTTCTTATTTTGCCTCCCTTTTCCAATACAAAAGTGAAGAGACAGCTAAGCAAGGCCCTGCAGGCCGCAACAGAGGTGTGACCTCTGTCTCCACACTGCACAGTCTTGCAGCGAGAATTAAAAATTGGATGCTGGAACTACAGGGTCATGTTTGCCATGGTTTTCATTACTGAAACACGCCATTGCTAGGTTTACAGTCTGCGGCTCTTGGTGGCCTATCTTCCTCCTAGAGATGGCCGTACGTAGAAAATACAGAGGAGAAATCGGGGCGAGAATTCAACAACGCTTTTAGAAGCCAGCAGTACCAAACTAGTACAAAAAGCCACATGGGCCCTATCTTCTTCCACAAGTTATTTCCTTGGATTGTAAATCCGGAAAGGAAATGAAAAGCAAACACCTCACCAAGTTATGCTTTAACTTCAGGCTCGGTGAGTGCACCAGCTTGGGGCCATTTGCATTCAGCTAGTGTTAGCTCTGCCCTTCCTCAACTTCCAGAATTTCACATGGAGAATACATTGTCCTCCTGTAGCTTAATCTCCTCTTTAATTACAAAGACAGAAGGAAAATATATTCTAATAAGAGGAAGAGCTACACACATTTGTAAGTTACTGAATTCCCACACAGTCTACGTTACCAGTTTTTCTCTTTTTTGTACTTCTTTTTTGCCCCATTTTATACCTGTATCAAGCACTGTGCATCCTCCAAACCTTTCACTCGTCCTGGGTGGCTCTGACTGGCCGCACTCTGTGTCACCCCATGAGGGAGGACACCCTAGGGACAGCAAGAGCCATCGAGGGGGCTGCAGCAGCCCCAGCGCAGCTCACTCCAGGGCAGCAGAGGGTTACGAAGGCGAGCGCTGTGCTTAGCAGTGAGTCATGCAGGAGAAGCAGGCTCCAGCCCAGTGCAGAAGGTGCCTGGCTTTCAGAAACAGCCTGGATGCAACAGAAGGCACCAGCCTGGCGCCTTCGGAGCGGGGAGAAGGCTGACTGCCTCCTTCCTCTGTCGGGGAAGGGCTACGGACAGGGTGATACGGCGGGGGATATGGTGTGGCTCTGGTGGCCCCGTGCCGTGGACTCCAGGGGCTCCTGCAGCCGTGTGCTGCTAGACAAAGTCCTTGCCACTGTCCCAAAAACAGAAACAAGAAACCCAACTGGACTCATGAATAGGAGAGGAGGGGACACCACTGGAAATGACCAGCTCCAGCCCTTCTAGCGCTTGGAACAGTGACGTCCTGCCCTGTGGGGACAGGGAGGGTGCACCAGTTAGCCTTCAACCTGACCAGTTCTTCCTGGACTGTAGGGATGACTTAGAACTCTATCGATTCAGTACTTGGGCCCTGGAAACTAACAGTACACATGGAGCCTGTGTCTGCCGGGCCAAGGAGCCTGTGTCTGCCGGGCCTGACGGGAACAGCAACAGGGTGGGGCCCATCCAGGACCGGGGAGCGTGGGGACCCCGCTCACCGACGGCCAGAGCCCCAGGGGCCTGCTTCCCTCATCGCTGAGACTCTGAGACCCGTTTCTGTGCTCTAAGAGAAAAACAGTCGTTCTTCAGACACTAGATAAATTCATATAGGAATCCACTATTTAGTCACAAACTAAACTCATTTATGGCTCATTATACCCCACTTCCTAAATCCTTGGGGAGCTGGTTTCTTCCCACTTCATTGCTGCTGAGCCCCAAATCCCAGACCTGGTTGTCTCAGAAACATCCATGCCTGGCCTTGTCTGGAGCTCACGTCTAACCTGAGAGGAGACACATTTTACCCTACGGAACCCTGAATGCTGGCAGTGGAGGACAGGTGTATCTTAAACTGGTAGATCTGATTATTATATCTTTATTTTCTTTTTCTTTTTTCTTTTTTTTTTTTTTTTTTTTTTTTTTTTTTTTTTTTGCCTTTTTGAGACAGGGTCTCGCTATGCAGTTCAGGCTGGCCTTGAGCTCATTTTGTAGCCCAGGCTGGTCTCAAACTCAAAACAATCCTCCTGCCTCAGCCTCCCAAGTGCTCGGATTACAGGTGTGTGCCACCACGCCTTCATTTTCTTTTTTACCTAGATTTTAAAATCAGTGTCTAATAACCCCAGAACATGTGCTAATTTAGGGTTTTCTAAGAAAGCTACCAAGAAAGATAACCTTTTTCGTTCAATATATGATTTCAAAATGCTCCTTGAATTCTATTTTTTTCCTTGAATTCTAAAATGTGATTTTGTCTTGGAATTTTTCTTTTGCACACTACTTTCTAATATCTTGCAGAAAATAAGGATGAAAGTCAAAAAAAGTGTGACTGCTGCTTCCCGTGAGCAGACGTGGGGACTGCAGCCTTCTCAGACAAGCTCCCAACACTGCAGTGGGAGAAACAGAGAACTTCCGTGTGAGGCATTGTTTCTGAAAGGTGACCAGGCTCTTGGCGGGGGGGCAGGCCATGCGAATTAGAAAGCAGGGAAGGAAGCCTACCTTCTGAACCTGATAGATCTACAGGGAGAGGGACACAAGAAAAAGGGAGAGAAACAGAAATCAGATTAAAGTAGCAGGAACATCACAAAGGTTCTCTAAGTTACCAGAAAGGAACTGAAAGCCATTTTGAGAAAAAAAAGAGAGTACTGATAAAAAAATTAATCAAAATGTTTGAAGTCCTATTGAAAGAACTGGTCATTTCTCCACTCGTTTTGCACTGCTTTAGACGGTGACACCTGGGCACGTCTGCACGAAGCGCCGAGTCCTGCCATCCCTGCCATGTGGAAGAGCACGCACCGATCACCACTGGTGGCCGGTGCTCCTCCCTCCACTCTGCAAGCTCTCGCTGGGGGGCGCCAACCTCGGCCCCTCCCTGGCCGACAGCTTCCTCCACTCTTCTGGGTGTCCTCAGAGCACCCTGGGGCTCCGCAGGCCCCCGTGCAGCACCTGTGTGCCGATGCAAACGGGGACTGCGGAAGCTCAATTTTTTTTTTTTTTTTTTTGGTACCAGGAATTGAACTCAGGCCCTTGTGCTTGCTAGGCAGGCACTTGTGCCACTGAGCTATATCCCCGGCCCGAAACTCAATTTTTACACCCAAACACCCAGCCCTCGGATCAACACCGGTCTCGCAGAGCATATTCATTTCCCCTTAATCAACAACTTAAAATGCCAGTGCCCCAGGCTATCAGATGGTACAAGCTCACACTGTTTGTCTTGTTCTAAGAATAGCCAGCAGAGAGGGCGAGCCAGGCCAAACGTGGAGGCGCTGGGGCAGTCAGCCGCTTCCGGACTCGGGACATCCCAGACTCGAGACCACTGGGGAGCAGCCAGGTAGGTGGCTGCTGCCTCTTCCCGTGCAGTCCTATAAACCAAGGTGTCTACCTTAGGTTTGGTGATGGTGCCTCGAGGCTGGCATCAGGAGACACTTGGTTTCCAGGGCAAAGTGGCCCTCCACCCAGAAAGGGTCAAGGGCAAGGTCGTTCTCTTGCCGTTTCCCTGCCGAGCTGCTGGCCCCAGCCCTAACTTTCAAGAGCTTTCTGCATGGGACTTTGCGAGCGTCCATGTCAATCAGTTCTACTCACAAGCAAGGACAGAACTCAGCTGTTTTTTTTTTTGTTTTTCATTTTTCTTCTTGTACCAGGACTCGAACTCATGACCTTGCTTTTGCCAGGCAGGTGCTTTGCCACTGAGCTAAAGCCCCAGCCCCCAGAACTCAGTTTTTACACATTGCCATGAATCCTTGGAAGGGAGCAGAACCAGAACCTGGGGGCAGACAGCAGCCACGGAGGCAGCCAGCAGCCTCTGCCCAGCGCAGAACACGCAGACCGTACAGGAAGGGCCCTTCGGCAAGAGGCCAAAGGCGGGTTCTGGGCCCCTGAGAGCACAGGACTGAGGGGTCCCCCACCTCGATGTCTTTCAGGGTACGGTAAAGCTCAGCACCCCAAGGTGAGCTCCAGGGCCTGGAGCCCTCAGAACCGACTCCTGGCCCCCCTTCAGCCCTGCACTAGGGCAGAAGGGGCAGGAACAGGTGTGCAAACAGTTCCCACCCCTTTCCCAGGGCAAGTTCTTCAGGCTGCTCGCCCAGGGTGCTCACTCTGCCCTCTGGTCGCTGTCCAACACGCAGAAACCTCTGCGGAAATATGTCTAAACCAAACAAGCCAGTCTCCTTCCAGCAAACAGTAATCTGTTCTTGCCCGTCTTAATTCCAAGGATCTGATGAGTCCTGGTTCAACAGGGAGACCCTGAAGTTCAGACCCGGATCCTTGGGCTCCTTGTCACCAGAAAACAGGTCTGGGAAGGTCTCCCTCTGCCCGACGGGGGTGGGCAGGTCTGGCATCCCAGCTATGTGCACCCCCGGCCTGACCTCGGGCATCAGCCCACTCGCAAGCGCATTCCATCCCTGGCAACGTGACCAAGACAGGTGCGTCAGCACCAACAGGTGCCTGTGTGCTCGCAGGCTGCGCCTAAAATTAAAACCAGCTCTCGGGGAGGCAGCCAAGACCCCAGAGTTACCTCCTTCTGCTGCCGCTCCAGCTCCTTCATGCGGATCTCGCGGGCCTCAGCGCGGGCTGCGCGCTTCGCTGCAAGCCGGGCCTCTGCCTGCAACAGACCGGAAATCTGATTAGGGACTGGCCCAGCTGCGCCCCCGCGGACAGGCTCACGACACTGGGGAGAAGGTCCTGTCCAGAGCTTAATACACCCGGTGATGGATCACAGGCTCGAGAGAGCCGATAGGGTCACAAGGCAGGGGACCCGTGCCAACGAGAGGACAGAAGCCCCCACCCAGGCTTCTCCTCCCAGGGCTGCAGTTACCTGGGCCCCAAGGAGGTCCAGAAACATTACACGGAAAATTCCAGAGAGAAACACGTCATGAGTTGTTTATCTTTTCAATACCGGGGGCTGGACCCAGGGCCTTCACAGTGAGCTGCATCTCCAGCCCCATGCATTCATCCATCCATTCTTTTGAGGCAGGGTCTTACGAAGTCCAGGCGGGGCTGCAACACTCGATCCTCCTGCCTCGGCCCAATCCCACAGTGCTGGGATTCCAGGTGTCACCACCAGGCCCAGGTATGTTCCCAAATCTTAAACTGTGCACCATTCGGTGTGGCATGGTGCATGCTCAGGCTGTCCTCTTCCAGCCTGCTCAGGGTGTGAGTCATCCCTGTGCCCAGCACACTCATACTGGCTACACGACCTGTGTCCACTGGTCACTCAGGTTGACCAGGGTAAAGTCACAGAGCTTGTGTTCAGGTGACCTTCCTGTGCTTAGTAACAGCCTCAGATCCCGGCTCCCCACCTCTCCTCAGCGCAGAGGAATGGACGGAACCAGGAGGCCCAGCCTGAGGCCCAGCCCAGGTGCACTCCCTCGGGCAGGGAGGGGGCAGCCTGCACCTGCCTGCTGTCTCTCCCTTCTGCCCTGCCCCCTACATGCGAGACCCCAACACACTTGTACAGGTGAGGTGCTGCGCCGAGGTAAAGAGGCCCCTCCTCTCCCCAGAGCTGGCTCTGAATAAATCCTTCTTGCTTCTGACCAACAGAAATGGCCTCCTCTGATTTCATCAGTGGACAGCAAATGGCCCTGGTCTATGAACCTGCATGGCCAGAACAGAAGGTCCGGGCTGTCAAAGCCTGCGCCTCTGCTGAAAAAGCTGCCTGTGTTTAACAAGCTCTCGGGCGCTGCGCTTGCCTAGTTCTGTGGGAGAGCATTTGACGGGCCTGACCCGGCCAGCCACGCTGTCAACACGGGCACCCACACACGGTCTCAGTTTAACAAATTCTATGCTTCCTACTGTTGCGTGTGACAGACAGACGGTCAGAAAAGGCAGCGAGTGCCAGAGCTCAGGCCTCCCAATGTCAATCAAATGCCCCCTTCCTTCCGCGTAAGTCCTTTGTGAGTTTGTTGTTTCCGGGCGTCTGGTGTTCCCAGGTAACTGACCTCACACTGGAGCGGCAGGGATGCCAGCAGCCCAGGAGAGGGGGACAAAGGCTGGGCTCCAGGGTCCCCAGGGAGATCCTCCTGCCTCAGCCCAGTACATGAGCTGTATTATAAGCTGATCTCTAAATTCTGATCCATGGTGAGTGGTGACCACAGCTGGCCTGTCACGCAGTACGCTTGCTGGGGTCCTCCTGGGAAACTCACACTACAACGTGCTCCCCTGCTGTGGCTTTCTAGACCAGTGACATGCCAAAAAGCCCCCCAGCTGGAGACAGGGAGGAAGTGCGTGGGACACCCGCAACACCAGCGTGGGCCAGCAAAGCGGCTAAGTTCACACTGAGCGCAGCTGCCTGTCAGCCTGGGAGTGGAAGGCATGCAGCCTCTCCGACTCAGAGACGCGGCCAGGAACTTCAAGACAGCAGGGACAACAACCAGAACACGAGCACAGGGAGGCCACCCAAGTGCCAGACAGGAACAAGCGCCTGAGCAAGACCTGCAAGGAGCTCAGGTCTCTGCGAGAGGCACAGTGGGAGCAGCAGCCTCCGCCCAGCACAGGGTGGACGGGGAGGGAGCTGCACAAGGAGCCGGGTGGGGCCGCAGGGGCAGAGCAGAGGGCGCCGCTGGCGAATTCTACAGGGGTCCCCGAGATCCCTGCCCCGGTGCCCATGCCCTGCCCAGGCCCTCTGCTGGACTGTGGGTGCGGCCGCGAGCAGAGGACATGACTCCTGTCATCCGGTTCACGCTTGCTGGGCCCACCCCGGTCAGGGGGTGTGAGAGGGTCCCGCGCGTGGAGTCTCTCCCTGGCCTTGACAAGGCGAGCTGCCAGGTGGGGGGCTTTGAGGGGCTGTGAGCTGCCAGGAGCTGAGAGCAGCGCCCGAGACACCAGCGTGAACAGGGTGCCTCAGTCCCACAGCGGCAGGAGAGCGAGTTCTGTAGCTTCAGGCGCTCCCGGAGGACAACAGCGCTGAAAGAGGAAAACCTGGGATGCCTGCTCGCGCACACTGCCTGGGCTGATGCTGGGTCTGCATGGAGGACGCCTGTGCTGGTCTGAACTCCTTAAGACGCCAGCAGCCAGCCCCACCGACACTGACCAGGCCAACCGTCACCCGCAGTGGACCCCCAGCGGACACAGCGCCCGCGCCCCTGCAGCTCTCTTGCTCTCATGGAGACTGAGCGCTCCGAGGCAGGAAGTGGGGACGATGCTCTCGCTTGCTGGAGTCTGCCTGACAACCAGCCCAGCGGCCACACCCAGCCCCGCTCGGCCGTGCTGTCTTCACGGGCACAGAGCTGGACCTGCGAGGCACAGAAACGCCTGGCACTGGCCCAGGTCACGTGGCGGGGAAACCACACGGAGGTTCAACAACACGGCTCATCCTGGTCAGAGACGCAGCCAAGAACAGCAGGTTCCAAGGGACAATCACCAGAACATGACCACGGCGATGTCACCAAGGTGCCGTAGGGGAAGGCAAGTGACCTGCACACAGAGTGCAAAGAGCTCAGGTGCCTGAGTCAGCTGGAGGCCCAGCCCGCCCTCGGGTCCAGGGGCCAAGGGCACTGCACCCGGAGCCCTCCTGGAACCACTTCGTGAGACCTACAACGACCTGCAGGGGGCCCCTGCTCCGCCCTCAGGAGGACAAACGGGTCACTGTGGGAGAGCAGGTGCACCTCAGGGCCATACAGTGAAGCGCGTCGGACCACACACACAGCTCAGGTGTCACACGAGAGAGCCAGTGTACAAACAGTCCATAAGAGCTGGTAACAGGAAGCGGGGAGACAGGTCCTTGTAAAGGGGGAGGGACCACGCAGTGGGGGATGGCACGTACGAAGAGCTGAGATGTACGCTGCCCGTGCACCAGCTCCGGGATGAATGTGACCCTCCCGTACCACGACATGCGCAAATAACAAGGGCAGGCGCTCCAGGGGCCCGACCGTGTCCTGCACGCAGCTCGCAGGGGCCAGGGACGGCGCTCATGTGGCAGCACCCTTGGGATAGCTGGAGCCCCGGGCTCCAGGCAGTGACACGTGTTTGTGACAAGAGCATCCCCAGGTTTCCAGACAGAGCACTGTGGAGTGGCCCGTGCCCCTGACCTGCCACCCTGGCTGAAATGTGGGGCCAGCGTGGGGACAGGGCCAAAGCCACTGGTCCCATGCAGATGCTCAGGCCTGTTAGCTGAGGGCCTCGGGCTCCTAGGGACAGCTGCATAAGCCTGCTGCCGGGCAGCCCCGGGGAGACCCTGCTAACCGGCTGCCTCCAGAGGCCATGGGGCCAAGACACCACTGCCCAGAACACAGCAGCATGGCCAGCGCCTGTGTCTGGAGGCGGGGGGTATGTGTGTACACGTATGTGTGTGCATGTGTGCCTCTGCGTGTGGGCGGAGCTGGCAGGTGCCCCCACCACCCCTTGAGGCTCGCACCGCACAGGAGGTGATGGCGGCAGCGAAGCTGGGGGTGGCACGGGAGGCAGGAAGTATGGAGCTTGTGGGGGTGTGCACCCAGGTGGGCGGCACAAGGCTGCAAATCCAAACCCAGAAGTCAGATGTGGCCCTTTGCAACCTGCCGTGCCTCCCCCACTCCCACGGATTGGGATTAACCTAGGACAGCCGTCCCTCCTCCGTCACCTCAGATCAGCAGCAGCTGGATCCAGCAGCTTCCTGGCCTGGGGCTCACGGGGGTCCCCGAGGCCTCCCCTCTCGCCGCATGCTGGTAGCATCCCAAAATATCTAAGGATGAAACAACGTCGCCTCTGCTGTGTCCTGAACTAACCCGGCTGGGACGTGCTTTGCACGGGGGCGCGGGCCAAGCCGGGTGGGGAGCGGGGCTCTCCAGTGTTGCCCCGCACAGCACGTCTAGCCAGGACTCATCAGAGGAGCAGTCTGGGCCAGGCCCCAGACTTGCTCAAGGGTTAGGGTGACAGGACCGCGGCCGCCCAGGGCCACCCATCTCCTCAGGATGTGGCAACTTTCAGAACAAACAGCGAAGACTCAGAAGGGAGGGAGGGGGGGAAGGAAATGAGACGCCCAAACCAACTGCCATGCGGGCCCGCTGCTGGGAGAAGGTGCCCGTGTCCTGTGGGCCTTGCTGGGACGAGTGATCACTGGCTGTCTGGTGCGCCAGGAAGGAGGGGACAGGCCAGGGTGAGCCAGGCTCCCCACACTGCCCTATCTCCCCTTCTAGGGGCACACCGACCCTCCCCAGGGTCCCCCCCACGGTCCAAGGTCAGGCACTCTTGGGTGGGTCGCTGGGAGGAAGGGCACACGCTGCCCCTAGTGGCCTCCAAAGCAGACGGCTGGACCCTGAATGCCGGAGCCCTCCTTACACCTCCGCACCCAGGAAAGACTGAGGCCGGGGAGACGCCAAAGACAGCAGGAGGTTCAGTCCGAGCGCATCTCCACGCGGCCTCCTTCAGGGCCCCTGGGCAGCGGTGGCCGTGGGCCAGCTGGGGCGCGTTCTCGGAGACACTGCTCCCGGGAAGCGGCACAGAGCCCTCTCCGGTCACTTCCTCGGCAGGTGGCAGAACTCCAGCTCCCCGGGCTGAGTGAGACGCGCCGAGATGCTCCTGGGGTGGAAGGGGACCCCTGACGATGGCCGTGTGGGAAACACCTGTCACCACACATCAGAACACGGCCCGGCCCCTGGGGAGGGCGCTGACGGGGACACAGAGAGA